TGTATGTTCATCTCAGAGTATCCCTGTTGGTCAAGGACACATTTGTACCATTTGTTACAAACCTGTTCATGCATGGTGCAGCAACCATGAAGACATAACCAGATCATTGGACTTGTAAACGTATGTAAACGGTGTCAACCATGAGATGAGATAAAAACACTCTTTTGTGACGAGTAAATAACAATCTTGTCTTGTCTTCCAGAGTGGAGACATCCATAAATTGATAGATTTTGACAAATACACTTTAATTTTTTTAATTTAATTTTTCTGTATCTGAGTATTACACATGGCTGTTGGTCAGAGAAAGTCGCTTAATGTTAAGAAAACCGAAGGATAGTCAGTACTTGGATTGTGGCGAGTTCTCGTGCCCTCAGGAAAGTGATTTGAACAGACAAATGTGCCCTCCGATCCAGGTTCGGGATTGACGTCCTTTCGCGACTTGTTTCCTCCACAATTCAGCTAAATTTGGGTCTTTTGGCCACCTATGGAATTTCAATTCTTTTACGTGAGATCTCACAACCAGTAAGTTGGGAAATCGCTTGTCGTTATCACAAAATCCAACACAACAACGCGCGTGTTTCGGCATGGTAAATGCGTCGCCATTAGTTTGGCCGCGCGCTCTCCCCAGTGGTTTTGCACCCTTTACAAAATGGCGTCGATAACCTTGGATCGGTCTATTGATTTTGTATGTTACATGCCAGCAGAACTTAGTAAAACTTAGGACAAACGGCAGAATACCCTGCCACTTTGGTTCACCCCATTTACATGTGTCGTGAGGCTTTCAAGAACGAGGCTTAACACAAGACATAGGAACATGTGCTTTTGATAGACGCCATTCCATTCAGTGTCAGGTAAATAGGTGGCAGGGTATTCTGCAGTTTAGCCAAAACTTACCCGTCGAGGGCCAGAAAGCCACTACAACAATCTTCAAGATCCACTGAAACAAAATCATTGCAAGTCTGTTTCTTGGCGATGATAAGTATTTAGCAGTACTGAACATCTTCCTCTGTTTAACACGTGCGACTTTCCGGTTGAATGATATCAGAATTATATCACGTTTGTTTGTTTTTTCTCCTCTGTGTTCTTTCTTGAAGAATGTGATCGGTTTTTGGTTGAAACTGATTCCTCAAATACCAGCTGTGATAACTTTAGAGAGAGCAAAGCCAACTTTCACATTAGAAACTCTACGCTGTGTGTAACGCACTCAGTGTTGTAATAAAATTTCAGTGATGAGCTTGTCGCAATAGAATGCGGACAATGCGTTAGTCATATTTAATTTAGAATTAGTCATATTTAATTTAGAATGCTTAGTCATATTTGCATTAGCAGGCCCTCGGGGTGTAATGTTTTTATATCGAAGAACAGACGGGTCACTTACAGAAATTAGTGGTGGTTACACACACCTTGGGTTTGGGGCCTTACGGTGGGTAAATGGCTTGGGTTTGGTTAAGCTCAGGTTTCGTGTTACCCTTGAGGATGCGGTTACACAGTAAGACTCCCCTAAGGAAGTCAGATCATGTGTACTATAGGCGGCCTCGGTCGACATATGGCCGACAATCGACCGATAGTCGACCGATAGTCGACCGATAGTCGACCGATATATAGACCAATAGTCGACCAATGCATCACCCGATATGTGCACATTTATCGGTCGACTATCGGTCGACAATCAACCGACTATAGGTCGACTACCGGCCGATAGTCGACCGATAGATCGGCCGACAGTGGACCGATATATCGGCCGACAGTCGACCGATAAAGGTGCACATATCGGCTGTCGAGTATTTACATTCGAGGGCAAAGGTCTCTGTACCGTCCTGATTGATGCGGCAGTTGACAGTGTATATTTAAAAATCGATTAATTCCCCCAAACTTCCCATAGGTTGTTAAAAAGAGGAATGAGCCGTACTGATGTGGAAGGATGAGAGCTTTTGCAGGTCTAAGCTTTCTCGATTCTGAAGTAGGGGCTTTCGTTATTCGACTGCTTTCGAAATATTTTATTAGCATTTATGAACTTCAACCATTACAACTTTTACTAGTATTTTCAGAAAGAATTATCTAAATATGAAACCTCTTGAAAGATTATGCACCATCTTAAGCGCAAGAAGTTAAAAAATATACAGCTATTTAAAATGCTATTTATCGGGCGCGAATCATTCAGCTAAATGAGAAATAATCTAGCTAACTTGAAGACTAAGGATGGAAGTATCTTTATGTAGAAACTCTTGAAGGATTATACTCATTCTTAATTAAGAGGAGTTTCTGGAAAACAGTACATCTATTTGGCAATTAAATTATGAGCTCGAGAGTTTCATGGCGCGACAGTTGATTAAGAAGAAGTCTAGGGGCGCCAAATAATTAATTTTTATTTATTTGCATTAATAGAGAGCGAATGATCTACAAATGTACATCCTTAGGAAAAAAACTCTACTTGATGACACTGAAATGTATTCATGCATCACTATGCCAGAATAAACCAAAAGATTTCTTTTAGAGATTTAATTGAGATCTCGATTACTGTTATGTCATCGACGGTAAAATCAATAGAAAATCGATACTAGCACTAACGATTGACGTTTTGGGGTAGCGATTTCTATTTATCTCAAGCAATCGGTCGCAACACTAGCGATTGACTAGCGATTGCTTGATGTTTAAAAAAAATAACTCAAGTGATAAAGGTTTAACACTATTGATCGACTATAAGAACTACGATTGATATTTGGCGCAACCGATCTGCCTCAAAACACCGGCAATTCTAAGTAGCGCTTTCAACTTAAGCCTTCCAGCGTCGTTTGATGCAACAACGCAAAAGCGATCGATGTTCACCACTACCGACCATTTTAAAAAGGCAACTAAATTGGTTTACAACTACAATTTGTTTCTAGCACTAACAAGTGACTTTTATCACTAGCGATTCATAGGTAGCACTAACGATTGAGTTGTACCACCAGCGATTCACATTTTTGGCACAAATGGCTCCCCATAAGTTGCGAATCGACCAGCAGGCCAGGTACGAACCGACACAAACTGGGTACAAATCGTCTGAATTTTGGTACGAATCAAACTTTCGTAGGCACAAAACGACTGAATATATGGATATTCTTGTATAGGATACCAACCAATCAAATGCAAAACTAAAATCCGCGTCACGATTGCGCTCGTTTTCCCGCGCTTTAGAAACTCTGAGTTAATCGTTTGGCGCGTTGTGATACTTCCCCTTGCCCTGATTGGCTGTTGCGATTACTTTGGATTGGTTCTATGACACCCAGTCGAAAAGTGTTTTAACTTGAGAGAGATTATCCTTTGGTAAAAAAAAACAGGGCGTTTTTTTTTATCTTTTATTCTTTTTTCAAGGATTCAGTTCTCAGCTTGATCCCATTGTGTCTAGCCAGAATTGTTTTCCTAGTCATTTTATTGTCTGGCAATTGATTTGATCATGTTACTATATAAACTGAAACGTCCCCCATGTAGATAAATATGGAACCAGGCCTGATATGGAACATATTAAAAGGAAAATATCGCGCGTGACTGAATGACTTTCAAAGGAATTTGTGTTAAATCAGCACCGGATATCCATATATAGAGGGCTGTGGAGATCGTACGAGCCCCGTCACAGAGCACTTCGTCATGGGAGGTAAGATCCTGTCTATAATTTGTACAATGACAAACCAGAAAATAACGCACGTGTTAGACACACATTTGTCTGCGATTCAGTGCATACTAACACGACCACCACATTGTGAAAAGGCAGTACAGTCAAAACAGACCCAAATAAAGCTGAGAAGAACGGGCGAAAATGGACTAGTATGGTCACCGAGTCTTTGGTTGCACACACGTGAACTTGGAAGAGGAAACAGGAGGGTTTCAGCTGGAAAGAGTTGTCATGGACACGGGATATGAGAATCTCCAGATGTCAAGTAAGTGATTTGAAAACAGATACAAATGTTCATGTTATTTCTCTCAGTAAACTTTTGAAGCTTATTAAATGAACTTAAATGAACGCCATGGTATATCTATCGGTATATGATTTAAGGTTTTGTACAATCAAACTTCAGAAACCTCCTATATCCTTCAGGCTGCCTCATAAGAGACGCAAGCGCCTAAAAAAACTCTACCAAGGTGTGTGAGACCTTGACCCTCTTTGATAATCCTTGATAAGGAGAGCGTGGTTCGCCATCAGAAAAACACAATCCACCCTGACGAAGGGCTGACGCTCGAAACGTCAGCCTTAGAAAATCTTAACGGTGGCTAATTTACATTACAACTCGGTTGATAAAAGGTCATGAAACTAATTTACTCTTGTAACACCCTCCAGACGCAGCAAAAACAGTTTACCCCTTCATCGAGTTGTTAATGGCCCGAGAACGTTATTGTCGCCAGTGCTTTCCGAATCCCGTGTACAAAAATATGGCTGTTGCGATTAAAAATTCGCGGAATTTTAATGTTTTCTCAGAAGGATTCCTTCCGAAAATTACAACTAAAACTACGAACTCACCTCGCCTGCGGTATAGGCATCAATTGCTCTGTCAAATAATCAAATTACGATAATAGCTCCGTTTTTCGATGACATTCAACAATTTGGTTTGCTCTTCCCATAATGAGCTTGTTCCAATGACAATATTTTCGTTCAATAAAACACTTTAAAGCAATCTCTGTTTATTTGCCTCCACTGCAAATTTAAGATATTGTTTGATTTGGTTATTTGATAATCCATAATTGCCTATTAGTGGGCGATCCTAAAATCTTAGATTAGATCACGTCCGCTTTATAGTGAACAAACCGAGACAGAAAAATCCTACGTGATCATTTAATCGCTTAAAAAGTAAGCAGAAATGTGACTATCCTGTTGATGTTTGTTCTTTTAATGCTTATCCGTTTGCAAAACGCAAATAATGTCACGAAATTTTTCCCTGCCACAAATTTACACAACAAATCATCTACGAGCCAATTAGAAGGCTTCATTTCTTACACGTGATGAAGTCGGTTACGTTCATCTCTGTGCTAAACAATACTTCTCGAAACCTTTATCGAGATTAAGGAACCCAAGAGCCCGCAAATTGGAAACTATTTTTTGTGTTTAGTGGAAGTTGAAACGTTCAACAAGTTGTTAATTATCTGCGAGTATCTTTTCAGTCCTTTGATGGCCGAGCGTTTGGATTGTTATGAGGAATTTAGTGACATTTGTGGAGGTGTGAAGCCATAGATGTGTAAGGATTCTCGCTACATTTCGAACGTGTTATCGGTGTTGATGTTCATTTGGTGAACGAAATTTATCATGCTGGACATTTTGTATAGCAGTTTGAGTGTTTCGACAAAACATTCTCGTTCGCCTTTTTATTTTACAAGCAAATATACCGTGGATCAGGAACGATGAGGAATTTTATGTAGCAAGTATATTAATTGGAATTTCCTCGATACGACATGCAGCCGAGTTATAAACCGTTCAAAGGGAATCTCGTTCGAACGGTCGATTTATACCGACGGACTGGCGGATTTGGTTTCACGCTGTCAAGCCAGGGACCATGTGTACTCAGCTGTATTATAGCTGGAAGTCCCGCTCACAGGGCAGGCCTGAAACCAGGTGACGAGATAATCGAAGTTAATGGGGCTTCCGTGGAAAGTGCTCCGCATGAACAAGTTGTCAAACTCATTGCGCGCTCTCCGGATGGGATGGTTCAACTTGGGGTTCGTAACCGGTCAGAATTGCAAAGGTTAAGAATGAACGAAACGAAAATCAACGCGGAAAATCAAGAAGAAACAGTGATAAACGAAACGATATTGAATCGAGTTGATAAAGTCGTTGAGGAATTGAAGTCGGGTCAACTATTCGGGGATTCGCCGTCGCTAAACAGTTCTTTATCCAACGGAAAATTTATATCTGAAGATGATATCGTTACGGATGAAGAATTAAAAGCTTCTTTTTGTGAAAGTATTAGGTCTGAAAGCTCTGTTCCTGGTTCCTCTCCTGCTCAGAGTTACGCGAGTAGCAGGCGATCTAGCGAGGGAGATGTTGCGTCAAATAGTTCATCATCTCCGATGTTATCTCGACTCCTTTATCCTAAAATGACGCCGTTGAAAGGTTGTGATCAGGCAGATATCGACCTAGAACCGGAACTTCGATCTATTGTAGGCTATTTAGGTTCTATTGAACTGCCCGCAGCGTCAAGTCTTCCAGCCGCAAGTCTGAGTGCAATAAGAAATTGTGTTCGACGTCTTCGAGCACAACAAAAAGTTCATGTGTTTTTTCTCATGGAAGTCTCTTTAATCGGGATAAAGCTCTTGGATAACGAGAAGAGAGCTGTTGTTACGTACCCCATTAAGTCCTTGGCATTTACTGGACTCTGCTCTGACGATAAAAGAGTGTTTGGTATAGTCACCAGAAAAACTAATGAACCATCTGCAGATAAGTTCAATAATGCCTCCAGTAACTGGCAGGTTCAAAATAATCACAAAACTGACATCCAAAGCACTGTAAATTGTTCTTGTCATGTTTTCTCAGTGAATCCAGAGCTCAATTCTCATCAAGCTCATCAGCATCTTGCTGATAAGTATGGAATACAATGTACCGAGGATGCGAAGGGAGGTTGTACTGAATTTCCTGCCTCTTCTAGCCCTGTCCTGAAAGCCATCACTGGCATGTTCAAGGAGAGAACAGGGTCAGAGTCTGGTGGAGCAAGTAGTGATGGTGAAAGAAGGGGACGGTCTTTGTCATTATCATCTAGCCAATCAGAGTCAGATGGGGTATTCCGACAACCATTTGATGATGAGAACTCGACAAGTGAACCTCCAACAGTTAATTTTATTACCAGTCACATGGTAAATGGATTGCCACTGGATATTGATTCTTTTCAGATGCAAGAACAGACCACACAAAATGACTTAAAACCTCTGAAAAGAGTGGACCAGCAAGGGTTGCATGAAGCTGTTACATCATTTAATGAACAGTTTAAAAATACAGAGCGAAATGATTCAGGTGTTGGTTCTGATTCCTTCCCTGAAGCTGTGAATAATGTTTCAACTTCACAGGGTGATAACTTGAGCCGACCTGCTCCTCCTGTGGTGAATGTGTCCTCATTTCATTCTCGCGAGAGTTCAGCTGATTCTCAAATGTCCTTGGGGTCACACCACAGTTCACTGGCTGGTACTTTAACTGAAGTTGGAATAGCTGGTAAATCTCAGCATAGTTCACAAATTGGACCAGTTGGAACAAAGGATCCATCTCTAAGTAACTCTCAAGAGGTAAGTGAAACCTTTGTACCATGCCATTTCACCCTTTAGCCCTTTAAACCCTAAGAGAGATCAGCATCTAAATTCTCCTTGCAGTAATACTGCTGAATCATTCATTAATATTACAAGAATAAAGGAAATGATCACCAACCTAAGATGCTTTGATTGAAAAACAAATTCTCCCTGTTCAGACCAAAGGAAACTTATAGAGAAGAGTTTGGGGAATATTGATACTGATGTTAGGATGTAAAGAGTTAACTTCTATCCATTAAACAGGTGTCCTAGAACAGAGATACATTTCAGCAAGAATGATATTTTGACAACAAAAGCAGCAACAACAGCAAAAAAATTGTTTTAATTTACCTGGAAATGTGAGTCATAGGATCAATAAATTCATGTGCTCTTAAATCCTATTTGGTTTGATCCTATCAAGCTAGTTTTGCCTTTATTGCCTCTAAATGCTGATGCTTACTTTTAGATGTAATTAAAAACAGGACAGGCAACTATAGAGCAATTGAGTGTTGAGAGAATGTGATTGCATTGGTTTTGCTTTACTTTGGTCCTTGATCTAGATTTCTTGCACAACTCTCTCTACCAATCAGGGGATAAACTAAAACCAGTCACATGACTTGGTTGCCCACTTTCTCTGATGAGCATTGAAACAAAGATCACTTTTCCTCCAATGTCCTACAATCCTACATAATGACATGCAAAATAATTTCTTTTGAGCAGAGTTTTAGGAACTTTTAGAGTATCTATCATAAACTAAAGCAAATTCCATTGTACACACTTATACTCTGTAGGTAATTGAATTAGACAAGACAAAAATTTGATAATTGTTTTTATGTGGTTGCATGAAATTGAGTTACATTCATTCAGAGCACAAGTTTTTCTCAGTTTTTTTTTAACCTTAACATAGATAAGCATTGGGATTTTGTAAAATTTGTCTAAAAATATTTATTTCACAGTGAATATCTTCTCCTTAGCTTTGTTTGATCATTGTCTAACTTTGAATTGTTATAGAAAAAATGAAAAAGAGAAATTTAGAGAACAAGTGAAGATACTTTAGATCAATTTAAAAATACATTTTCAATGGGGAAGACATTATTTTCCAGGAAGTTAAGAGTCGTCATGGAACACATTTTTGTTTTGTTTATAGATCAAATCTTAATGATGCAATGTAATATCACTTTAATATGCATTGATTTTTTTTATTTATGATTAACGCTGCTAAAATTTCTTCTTTCTTGACTTTTTAAATTGAATTAGTAAGTATTTAACAATAGTCCTCCTTTAAAGGAATGAGGAGAGTTCTCATATGGTGAGAGAAAGCAATATAATTTGTGTTTATTCATGTACATACAGTGTATAACAGCTTGTTAGATTCTTCTATCTTGAATATGCTGTAGCCTCAAAGATAAGCAAAATTCAAGATCAAAACTAGAAAAATAAGCAGTAAATAAGGCAGGCATATATAGTGGAAAATTACAGGGTAATCAATATTTAATTACCTTTGCCTTGATGCACAATGTTTATCTTGAAAAGGTTGCAGGCTATAATGCTGAACAATTTTGTTTAGACTTCTTGCGAGTCAGAAAAATTGACTTAAGACAACTTTTGGTTTTCAGTCCTCTTTCTTGAAGCTTCATGCATGAAGTGCTAGAATTAGGTTATTCAAACAAACCTCAGATCTCATGCCATCATTTCTTGTTTATTTGGATATGTTTTGTGGACAAGTTCTTATCATAATTAGGATGTGCCAATGATCTTGAATGTGAGGAATGTAAACAAGTCAAAGACTATTGAGTTCAGTTAATAAATATTGGAGTATAATTCTATAGAGGCAGTCGATATTTCACTGGTACTTCAGTTTTGAAATTAAGAAGGAATTTTGTTGACATTTTGTGGAAGCCTTCACACATCAGTACTTTTCAGGCTGTTTTGGTGATCATGTTTATATTAAGTCATCTTTTTTCAAGGTATTAATCACTGAAGTCACTGAAGCATTTAATTAACCATGGATTCATTTCAATTTAAGGTTACATTCCATTGGGAGCTTCGTAATGAAGTTTGTAAAATTTATTATTAAGATGTCATTTAGTAGTTTGCATAACTGGGTCTATATGGAGCATCATTTTTAATAGTATTCATGGATTGAATTTGTGCGTATGAAGCGATTTTGAATAACTGGAAGTTGTGGAAGTGGTATTCAAAGTAGGTGCTATTTTAGGTCAGTTCCATTGTTTTGATTGTTGTGTCATTGACAATTACTTTTGTAAAACCAATATTCAGTTGTCTTGCAAACTTAATAATAACTGTAGTTGTATGTAGCTTTCTCTGTCATCTCTAAATCACTTCAGACTTTGAAGCTGTGTTGTTGCCCTAACCTTTCAATCTGTAATGTCTTAGAACACATTACTGTGCTTTTAAAGTATCTAAGCTTCTGATCATAGAAATGTCTTATAATTTTTGAGCTCTCCTGTTTGTGATGCATGACAATGTTTCTTGCAATAAAACTTTGTTAAGTGTTGATTTTCTTAGACAAATCTGGGTAAACATGCCGAAGAATATCTTTCATTGCAATGTTGAATTAGTGGAGACTGAGTCTGTTTTCAGTTTCAAGTGTATTCTCTGCAGACTTTCATGTTTTCAGTGTATAGAATTGACTTTGATACTTATAGAGGAACCAAATTTGAAGTTTTGCTTTGTAAACATTAATTAGATCATTGCAAACCTAGTAATTGCGCTAAATTTGAATTTTAAGCAGTCTTTAAGTGCTTTGATGTGGCAGGATATACACTGTAGATGATACACTTAAACTATTTCAAGTTTAATCACAAGAAACTAGCCAGCATATTATGGACATTAAGTTGTTTATGAAGGTTGGGTACAAGTTTTTGTAGTGTTACACGTACACCCTTATTTTTAAAGGCTGAGAGGTTTAATGTTTGCTGTTTTTTTATACCAGTTGTACAGCTGTCTGATTAAAAAGGTGCAAAGTACTAAGTTAAACATAGATTTGCAAGCCATAGAGAAAAGGATGAAAAACTTCCACATTTTAGCAAAACTGCAAACTCGCACTCACACAAAACTTTCCAGAAGCTCAGAGGGAGAGCATCAAACTGATGATAGGAAATTTTAGGGTTCTAATTCTCATGAAGGTTCCTGGCTTTTGAATTTTATGTCTTGAAGCAATTAATGTTGGCAAGGTGAAGAGGGTATAAGAGGTGTAATTTATTAAAAAGCCTCAGAAGTAAAAAATGCAATTCACTATTTTCTCAGTTTTTTTTCTTTTCTTTTTTTTTTTTTTACATCAGCCTACTACATTTGCTATACAGTTTGCAAGTGTATTTCATTGGTTAAAAACCCATGGTATTTGGTATAGAAAGTACTACAGGTTTTCTTTTATGTGGCTTGTTACTTATGTGTGACATATTCTAATTGATCTACAAAACTTCTACTATTTTTTATCTCAAGGAAGATAAAGAGGTAGGTGATTAGAAATTTGGGTTTGAAGACTGGGATTTATTAGAGTAGTTATGGTATTGAAAAGGAAGCTTCAGTGAGCTTTTATCTGCCTCAGATGGTAACTAGCTCACACCTAAATGGCAGTGAGGTTTGTTTCTATGTCAAGCACAGTATCAAGTTTGTAATCAACTCAACTTGTTTTTGCTTTTGTAATTAACTAGATCTTTTTATGTTCTTTATTTTTCAGTCTTTGGCACATTCAGATATAGGTAAGCCACAACATTTGTATATTTTTGCTTGTGTTGTATGATTGGTTTTTGTTTGATTGTAAGTAGGATTTTAATACATTTTAAAAATTGCCATTTGTTTGATAAATGAAGACTAAATTACATCTAGATTCATAACGGTTGTAGAGTGGGGGGGGAATTAAATGTGAAGTTCTGGCTGGAATTAATTTGGTTGGCAATTTATAGCTACAAATCTAGTATAAAATCATAGAGAGTAAATGACTTAATGTGTTTGAATGAAAATGAGACAATTTTGTTTGAGACAAGTTTGAATTTTGTCATTTTGTAAGCAACCTAGTTAAGGTGAACACTGCAAACTTAATTTTTTTTTTTTAAGGAAGCATACAGAGAGAGTCTGAGTGGTAGGATAGCAGGGTTGTTGTGAATTTTTCTAGATGATAAGTGGCCATTGCTTGCTGAATTTTTGTTACTTTTCTCTGTCATATTAATATTGCTTCTTTGGTTGATGCAGTTGTAGGAGCAACCCAAAGCAGAAAGACGTTAATTGCCAGTGCAAGTATCAGTTCGAGCACTCCAAGTATTCACAGTCTGAGTAGCATGCCTGGCGATATGTCTCAGGTGGATGGCAGAGTTGGAAGATGGGCTCTTGGGTTTGACAAGCTCATGGAAGATCCTGCTGGATTGGGCTGTTTCAAGGTACACATGTACACAAATACTTTATACAAAATAATAAATAGATATTTGCACAAGTTGTAAATAAATTAATAAATATGCAGCTTGCATTTTAGCCTGGTGGGTATCAATGAGGTGGCTGTTTGTTCACTGCTCCCACTTGAAATTGGATTTAGCGTGTTTGTTTCTTGGAGGGTGAAAAAATGAAGAAGCCTCAATCAGAGAAACCCTGGAAGTAAGGACAAAAACAAGCAGTTAACTCAAAGCTTATTATGTAAAGTTAGGTCTGGGAATCGCACCCAGGAAAGAAACTGCTATGGGAGGGAAGAGCAGTCGCCACTATGCTACATGTATCTATTTTCCCTTTATTTGACATTTATCCTCTGTTCCCTTCTGTTTGTATCTCATTTTTTTCTATTTCCACTGACACAACAAAACACTTTTTGATCTAAAACTTTCAAAATGTCTTTGCAGGAATTCTTGAAGAAAGAATTTAGCGATGAAAACATTGTTTTCTGGATTGCTTGTGAAAACTTCAGGAATATCTCAGATTTTGAAGAGGTATGTAAGAAAGTCATTCTGAGAAATAGCAACAAGGGACATAATTACAGTTACTGAGAAACTTTATTTGAAAGACTGCTATTATTATGAAAATTTTTCTTTTCTTCTCTTTTCTGTATTTCTGTCTCTCTTTGACTTTTTAATATTTAGCTCAAACAAAGTAAGTCTGTGTGATGAATAGAGAGCACAATACTTGTAAGGGAAGGGGGGAAGGGAATGGAATTGCATGATGGAGGGATGCACTTTGCTTCTCTGCAATGAATGCATTGTGATTGTCTTGAAACATAATTATGTGCCAAAGGTTTTTGAAAATTAGTGGAAGAGCTGTGTGATGTGTATAAAATTGACTTGGATTTGTCATTCCCCTCTACTATTTGATTAGTTTTGTCTAACGATGTACATTGGGAGGCATAGTACCTTTTTGGGCTTGCTTTTTTGAACATGCAGATATAGAAAATGTTTGCACTTTAACAGGGTTGAAAAAATTCTTTCCAAGTGGTTCATGCAACATGTGATTGCTAGAAATCATGTGTGTGATTGACCAGGGGAGGGAAGAGAAGTATGTTTTTATCAACCAGTATTGTTTCCAAAATGGAAAACTAATATGTATGAGAGCGCAAGTGACCTATGAAGTCCCAGTCAAAATTTTTATAGTAAGTTTGGTGTTTTCTTCTCTTAGCTGAAAATGGAAGCAGAGAGCATCTTCCACAATCATCTTACTGCAAATGCTCCCCTGCCTGTCAACATCGATAGCTGTGCTGTCAGAGATGCTGAGGAGCAACTGCAGAATCCAAACAGTGATATGTTTCGCCTTCAACAGCAGCAGGTTAGATGAGGCCTCTTGTTTTGTAGGTTAAGTGAATACAAACAGGTATTTTAATCATTTGGTGAGGGCAGCATGCAAAACTGACTAGCATAGCTGCTATAGATTAAAGAGAATAGGAATATTGTTACTGATCTGGAATGAGATACTAGTACATTACAAGTTCTCCCCACGTTTTATTTCTCTTGATGGCAACCAGCTTAGCCTAGCCTAGCTTAGCTTAGCCTAGCTTAGTCCTCTTGGTGCATCTATGCACATGACGCCTCAGCCAGAGAATGCCATTGATTTCTGTTAGTTGTCAATTTGCCCCCATGTCCAGCCTCTGACCCTCATTTCCCTTTCTACAACAAGCAGGTACCCTTTTATACTTGGGTTTTGAACAGCACTGTGACAAGGAAGTGCTTTGCCCAAGAACAAAATGCTATAACCTGTTCATTTGTGGTGCAGTAGAAGTTTGGTGTGCCTTTTAAACGAAGATTCACAACAGCATGATATTCAACAATACTGCAATTTTTTCTCTACAAATTAGAGAGCTTTGTTGTTGATGTTCAATTTTAATTGTCATTTGTTAACAGAATTGCTGTACTTGATGGTATGTATACCGAGAAAGGAAATCATGATGGCTTACTGATTTGTGATATGTTCAACAGGTCTATACTCTCATGAAATTTGACAGTTATCCTCGTTTTCTGAAGTCGGATGTGTACAGACAGAGTCTTGTGGCTGAAATGGAAAGAGGGCATCTCCCTTGTGAAGACGGAGAAGAGGAGAGAGAAATGAAAAGCAGAGGAAGCTTCTTTTGGAAGGTACATCATAGTGCTGTAGTCTTTATGGTGGCCAATTTACGTTATCAACTCAGTTGATAATATTAAATTACCCTGTTATTCTCTCTCACTGATGTTGCACCATAGTTTCTTTGGAAACTTACCCCTTTATCCCTTTTTTCTTGGTTTTTGGCTCAGTGTCAGGTTGGTACAAGTATAAATCAAACTAAAATGCAAGACTTAGAAGACAGTGACAGGTTGGTTGGAGAAAAAACATGTTGGATAAAAATTTTATTTGCTTGATTATTGAGGTTTTGGAGAATGTCCTTGGAACATGGAAAAAAAGTTCCCATTGAAAATAAAAATTTGCAGTACATTTCCTACATTTTAGAATTGAAAATCGGAAAAAATATAAAAGTGTACAAAGCTTAACTGAACTCTATGAAGGTTATTTATAAATCATCTCCTTTCAAGTAAGCTACACTACATAGAGAATGACCAATGCAATACAGGAAATGCTCCAATGAGTGGGGAAGGCCTTGGCATGTTTTTACTGCTTTTTAAATTTTTGATACAACTCTCAATTATCTCTATCTCTGCCTCTGCCTCTACCCTATTTCATTATTGCCTCATGTTAACAAAAATGGTCACTAATTTCAGGCAACTTTGTTTCTGGGGGGAGGGGAGACTTTTTAGTAATTTATAAGAGATACTTCACAAGATTTTTGTTTAGAATGTTGATTAGAAGGTTTTAGACCACCCACAGATGGGAGGGGTGCTAACTCCTTATTCCCCTTTATATTGTCGGTCAGTAGTTTTCTTTGGGATTTAATAATTCTCAAAATCAAGAAGGCACTGGAAAAATTATAAAATCATTGATAAACTTGTAATCATGGGGATTTTTCAACTAGCCTTTAAACTAACCCACCCACTGCATTTAGATACACTTATCTAACCAGTAAAACATTGCTTCTAAATCTAAAGCTGTCTCACCTAAGATATTGTCTCAGATATGTATAAAAGGTTTGTAGCTAATTTAACCACTGAAATCTCTTTCAAAACCTTGGGATTTAACTAACGTGAAACAATGAGTAAATTTTCCAAACTTTCAATTAAATTGCATTAGGCATCTTGAATATGTTTTTGAAATAATTGGGTTATATCGCTTGATATTTTCTTAAATTTTTAAGTATTCATGCAGTAAAAATAATGGTCTCTATTCAATGAATGCTGAAAGACCCAAAGCTCTGTTGTATTGGAAATATTCTTACTAAGCTGGTTCATCCCTTAACCCGTAAGAGTGACTGGCTTCTAATCTCTCTTTACAGTATAACCCCTGAATCACATGTTAAGTTCATGAGAATAAAGGAAATGATCACCAATTTAAGAAGTTCCTGATTGTTAAACAAATTCTCCTTGGTAGTAGTAAAAGAAAATAGAGAGAACAGTGTGGAGGATATGACTGTGGTGGTACCAATGTTAGAGTATAAAGGGTAAATGCGATGTTAACAAATATGAGCAGTATTTGATTTCATTGATAAATCTAAACCGCTAATAACACTGAAATTGTAGGTTCCACTGCTAAATCCTTCTTCTGAAGAATCTGAATTTTCCAGCAGCAGCAGTCGAAGCAGTTTTAGTCTTGAAGGACAGGTAATGAACAGCTGCAAATAAAACAACTCTGAACCATTTAAAATACTTTCTAAGATGTCTAAACTAGTTGACAGGTTAAATGTTCTCTTACAGTTGAAAATTAAACAAGATGTTACTTTCCTCATTGCCTTTTGCAAAGAAACTTCTTAAAACTTGGCAGTCTTTCTAGAAGTTCTACCACTTATTTAGTGTAACGTAAGAATACGAGTAAAATTGACACATAAACACAGATTTTAAGGAACACCTTTTCTAGTTTAATTTTTAAAAAATGTATTTTAGTTTTTTTTAGAGTGAATTCATTACTGTAAACGTTACTTGCAGGACAGAAGCGATTAGGATTTTTCCCAAATCGTAGCGTGTCACTTTTAGCCAATCAGAAGCAAGTAACGGCTTTGCTTACATGTGCTTCCGCGTCCTTTCCCGCGTGTTTTCATTGCCGTGTCATATTTGCAAAAAATTCCCTACGTTTCTTTGTTTGTATCCTTTTTTTCTCATCGTGTTGTTGTCGTGTATGTGAATAGTAACTTTTTAATCTGTTTAAACTAAATTTAATATTTTTAGCGTTCAGGACGCAGCTGGGGAAGTAAACACAGCAGCAAAAGATCCACTTCAGGGATGGACGGCGACAAGAAAAAGTCGATTCTACCTTGGAAAGGCAAGTTTGCTTCTTAGAGAGCGAGTTTAAATATTTTGTCTCGTAAACTTTGTGTGGAGTTGTGTTGATGACTAATTCATTGACTCATTTCGTTTTCTGCCTTGTGTCAATCCGCTTTGTTGTCCAAAAATTATCACAACAACCACGAAAAAAAATGTATGATGCTTACTTTGTCGACACATTGACTCAATATGGTGCATGCTTCTGGTGTATACTGGCTGGATATAGTGTGCTGAAAGTTGTATATGGTCAATCTTGTATTAAGTGTGATAGAAAAAAATTGTTTAAAGTCACGAGCTTTAAGATGGTTGTTATTTGCTTCTAAGGAAGCAACATGACTATAAGACTGTGCAAAAGTTACGAAGAACACAAGTTACTTACACACGAAAGTTCTGTCTTGTTGTCATGTCTTTCCAAGAAAACGAGTCGGTCCAAATATACAGTGTACCCTTAAACTGCTTCTTTTCTTTCGAATTCCTTCTGAACTATCTATCGTAAAACGTGCAGCCCTCAAGGACGGATTTTTTTTTTCGGTATATGCCGATCGGAACTTACGCGTTTGCGAGTCGTTGAAGAAATGAAGGGCTTCCATTAAATATTTTATGGAACGGTTTAACTAATTCCAATTAGATTTCGTCAATTGGCTAGTCAGTTTAAAGGAAAAATATACACAAGAAGCATACATGAACTCAGAATAAAAACAAGCAAACAGCTTCAAAGTCGCTATTGGTTTTAGTTTTGCATCCGATTACTGAGTAAAGAGGGCGGCACGAGTTTTCCACGCAATTTACAAAGCTAATTTAGGTAAAACGAACATTACTTAGGAAAGCCTCCACTTCTCAATTGAATTGCTCTATGCAGAAATATATTCTGGTCTTTAAACATAAGTGTTTGTTTAGTCAAAAATCTGGCTTTAGTGTGGCTGATATTGTTGGTCTTATAATTTCAAGTCCTTGTTGTTTGTTTAATTGTGTTCATGTTTACACTGTGAAGAAAACGTACTATAAAATACCAGTGTTACACGTTTCCCTATATTTTGACGTTACATATTTGTTTTTCTGGTAAGTTTTTTTTTTTTACTAAAATGCCCATTTTAGTTAAAAAAAAAAACACTCGAGCGACAGCCTTGATATTGGGAATATTCGGTGATATGATGTCGTTCTTTTGAAGTAAATCACTGAAAACCTAATTAACCAGAGGAATGCCCACCAATTTTAACGCAACTTAATTTCCGGTAGTTTATCTTTCGTAATGCGCGAAACTTTTTCAGTCAGAGCAGAATATTGTGTTGTTATATTAATTTACAAAAATAGTGCTGATCTTTATATATGATGATATTATATGCATTCCAATGAAATTTGTCGTTGGTTTAGACTACAGATTGGCCTTTTTAGTTTCGGATTTTATCCAAATTTACCTTTTGGATTTAAAATTTGAGTCGAAGGCCGCTATTTTAAGGTCCAAAGAATAGAACGGTGTAAATGAGGATGAACTAAATTTATGATCTGCGTTAAAGCCATTTCTTTTCTTTTTATAGTTCGCTAAAGTCATCAGCCCTCACAAGTGAAAAGCATACCTTTTGTTTAACAGAACAATCATAAGACGTTTATGTCTCTTTTACTGGTCGTCAATTTGCTTAGAAAGGATATTGCTTTTGTTTTCTGGTACTTACTTGATAATAATGCTCCTCCTTCTCTTTTGCAGGAAAACACGTCAAAAAAGGTTAGTATTGGTTGCTCATTTTCCTAACTAGCATAATTATTTCCACTCGCATCAACGATCGACAGTTGTTTTACTGCTTCGAACAAAATCAAATCCCGGGTCATGTCGATCGCGCGAATTCTGACTCGAAGACGATAGAAATGTTGAAGTTTCAGATTTCTAGAAGGGCTGAAAATCTGTACACAGGCCCTCCTATAAGACCATGGGACCACGATAGTAAGTTATGAGACCTTTGTTTAGATTCAGTTGTGGCCCTCCTTTTTATGAGCTGTGGAGGGCTGCCTGTCGGCCTAAGGTGATTTTTATTTGTGTCTCTGGATACTTATTTATCAATTATTCACATCGAGCTTTACTAGCCGCTGTAATATCGATGTACTTTTTGTTCGATCCTTTCTTAGTTTACGGTTGTACAGTTTATTGTAGTTGGATATCGCATTGAATGTTTGAATTTGGTGTGACTTGCTCATTGTTACTTGTATCATTTTCTCCAGGTGACAGATCTTTTGGCAGCCAACCTGGCAGTGCTCGAAGTTCTCTCTCCTCGCTGTCGGATTCAGTCCCACGTTTTAGTTATTCGACAGAGGTTCGTGTTCATAAATCGTCTTCTTGTACAATGTCACTCACGCTTCTTGTTTCATTAAGTGGGCATCCGTCACGCGTGTTTTACATCACGCACATGTTCACCAAATAGTCTGCGACTGCGATTATTTGTCCCTGAAATGTCGACTGACTTATACGACTAATACCTTGTTGATTAATGAAAAAGACAGGCGCTGAAACAAATACAAGATTTTTTTACTATATTGTAACTCATTAGCTTTGCTGTTTATATTGTTGTGTTAAGTCTGGGTCTTCTGCTTTATTCAAATGGCAGTAACCATGCGAATTTTTTTAAATACAGTATAGCGCAATAAAATATAGCGGAAAAACATCAAGTTTTGTACTTTAAACGAGGCAAAAACTCCTTGCCATGGTTGGTTATTGGAAACTTTTTCGTTATTTTGTTTGTTAAATATAAACATATTAGTTGTCGTGTCTTGATTTTTTTCGTCCGCGACAGAGGCTACTTCTTTTACCATCGACGCTTACGTATCTTGTTTATTTCCCTAAATTATTAAATTCTATATTTGATTTGTGGGTAGACAAACTACTTTTAAATTGATGGAGACCCCTTAATAATAGTTGGTAGACATAAAACACAAGAGAGATATATGTCAGAATTATTCACAAAGAACAATCAGAGTAAAGAACGAAATAGAGAAATTTGTGCGTATGTTTTTGGATTACAAACCCAGAGAAACTTTGGCAAGTCTTTCGATCAAGTTCGGATGCAATTAGAAATCATTTTTCTCTTTATAATGTAGGGAATGTGACAATTCTGTTTTTTTACAATGGAGTACGTCTGTTATATCTATTTACTTTTTCTCAACGGTATTTCTTTCTTTTCGATATGCTCTGCTTCACACTTCACATAAAAAAGTACCGGAAATTCTTTTTTCCTATTAAGTGCACTTGACAAATTTTCCACCATATACTTGTGACGTGGTAACAAGGTTAAAAGACGAAGGAAGTACTTTAAGAGGTTGAAGTGTTCGTATACTTAACTATTTGTGCATACAATAACAATAACCGTTTTTGACGTTGTTTGTACGCAGTCTCTAAATGTGGATCAGAGGAGGGAAAGTGAGTCATTCCAGTTCTGTAGAGTGATATTACCGGACCATTCATCCACCATTCTACTTTGCAAGGAAGGTCAAACCTTACGCCAAGCCCTAATGCAACTGTGCGAAAGAAGACACCTCTCACTTGTCGCAAATGAGGTGTTTCTTGGCGGCGGAGATAAGGTATCTTTGTTTCTTTGGGCTTTGACATGTTTGCTCCACTTGTTTTACGCAAGGTGTCCTCAGTATTGATCGACTTTGGTTGTGACCGTAAAAGTGTTGTGTTAATCCTCTCTTGTATTATATAAAAGAGATGCATCTTTCCGGTAGAGATAAGATATCGTCCTCACCCTGACCTTCAGGGTTTTTGATTTGTTATCAAAAAAATGCGCTTTAAATAAGTATTGATCGAGTGTTTTGGTGACCTTGCAAGTGTCCTGTTTCGTTGTCTATTTAACAAATAGATCGCATGTTGCCGTGTGCATTTTCAGTAACAGATGACGGATGACGTTAAAATGTTGTAAGAAGAAAATCACCGATGCTTTTTCCACATTTCGACGTCCTTTGTGATCTATTACTCTACAGACCCATGGCAACATGGAATCGATTTGTTTTGAATGATAAAAACGCAAAATGTTGTTGATAGCGACGTCACCCATGCGTCTGTCCTCAAATAGATCACGAGTAAGAACCAAAGAAATGCGTGTAAGATTCAGCTTATCATATGGCGTCAAAAGTGAGAACCTATGAAAAAGCGTGTACGATTTAGCTCAGTATATGACGTCAAGAGTAAAAACCAATGAAAAAATGCGTGTAGGATTCAGGTTATCATATGAAATCACGCGTAAGAACCAATGAAAATGCGTGTAGGATTCAGCTTATCATACGACGACTGTTCCTCGAAAGACCCACCTCAAAAGTGTGGTTGAAATTTAAGCCATTTTGGGTGGTAGTTAATGATTTTGAACGGACAATCGAAATCTCATAGATGAAGCAACAACAGCACCTTGGTTCAACTTGAGTCGTGCTTATCCTGAAGAGAAACAGTACTTCATGATTTATCTCTTACGTCTTGGGCATGACTGAATGTTTGGGTGATAAATAAGAGGTAAATCCCCGCCTAAATAGGAAATACTCGAGAACAGGAATCACAACTCGTTTTTCACAATCTTTCTGTGTTTGTAGCTTGTCCTTCTAGAGGAACTGGATGAGGACATGTCTATCATGGGCGGCAGAGAGGTGGTCCTGATATACAGAACGCTTTTCAGGTAAACTTGACGCAGGAAAGTGATTACAATATAAATACATTATCTAACAGGCAGGTTACAAGAGAAGACGGACTTATGAGCTTTTTGGTGGTATTTTGATAGAATACCAAATCGTCTTTATGTAGCATCTGTATGGGAGAATTACCAACATGGTAGGGATCGTTGTTGTATGGGCTATTTTCAAAATGAGACCAAGTTCAAAGCCTTTCTTGTTTAAATTAGATTTAGGTGCTGGAGAATAAATAATGGCTACTTGCTTCGCACTCACACCTTCTTTTAAAACAGAGGCCCTGAACATCTCGCAAATGGCCTTTAGCGCAACCTGGAAATTAATGCATTCCATTTCGACCAGCTTTTCTCAGTGCTGTTCTTATGGCTAGAACTAGGGACCACGTACGTTTGCATTAGAGAACATACACCCAAAAGAAAGGAAACAGCAACTCGCCGAATCCCGTTTAACCATGTGTGTTGTTTCTGGGTATTGCCTCACTTGGCTTTTAATATCGTGCGTTGTAGGTTGGAACTCCCGGATGGTGAGATCCTGTGCGTCAAGGTCAAACCCGATCAGAGCGTGAAGGCTTGTTTGGAGCCCATTCTCTATCGTCAAGGATTGTCTCCTAATCATGTGATCACTCATTTGGTGCGTTGCTTTCATGTCGCTTTTGTTAGGCATTGTTGATAACAAAAACCCTGTTTAACGTTTGTAAAAAAAATCTTGGTGGTAAATGCATGTAAAGAAACAAAACATATGAAAACAAAGGACATACTTTACTGTGTCAGATCTTTCTACGAGATCCTTTAGAGAAATTTTCAGTGAAGGTTCGAAAGAAACCCAGGATGGCATTTCTTTTTTGCGCTTTCCAACGTTGTGTGATTAAAAAGATTCGCGCCATCTTCGTAACTAATCAGGTGCAGAACTTAAGACTTGGTCATGCGCGTTTTCCCGCGCTTTAGGCAGTTTGCCTGTCTTACTCTGGGTTTTCTTTCGCTCCTTGGGATTACTTTAGTTTGGTATTCGCTTTTCAACGCTACTCAGTGGAAAAGTGCTCGAAGCTTTCTCTAATGTTCACTTTTCCCTATATACAGGCGGGATGCGAAGTGCCTTTGGACCCTGGTATCCCAGCAGCCTCTATTGAGCATCAACTCGTAGTTGTGGAAACCGAGGAACAGCTTACAGGTAGAGACTACTGTTCAAGGTTCTTCTGTTTTGTAGTCCTCTTTTGTTGGCTCCGTAATTGGAGAAAGTAACAATTTTCCCTTAATGCAAAGGTGTAAATATATTATTGCAGTTATCGGTGTGCTATTTATAGAACCTGTTTGTTTATTTTGAGTATTTAGCGTGATCTTAATGGCAGAACTTCGAATTGGTAAAACTGGGAGGTGATAAGATTTCAAGTGACGAATCGAGAGATGGTCGTGTCGTAATCCTTGAAAAGTGCCTAATACTTACATAAACCGAGATAGGTTATCCTATCTGCGTCCACCCGAAATTCTGTAAAATGTCATTTATAAGCCGCCTTCGTTTCAAAGGCCTTCTCTTTGGTTATGTGCCGCCGATATTTTCATTTCCGAAAAATGCTCTCGAGTCATGAGATACCGTTTATGAACCACCTTCGCCAGAAAGGCCTTCCCAATGCCCATCTTTTTTATTCTGAAAATTTCTCTCGGGTTATAAGATACGCTCATATTTAATCCGCTCATACTTAAAAGTTGTTCGCCGTCGAAGGTAACTTAAATGGACTGTATGTGAAAAACAAAACTTTCAAAATCTTTTTATTATTAATAGTGTCAGACAAATTGTCGTCTTTGATTATGCTAGTTGGTATATTTAGATTTAGAACTTATCATTTCAAGTTTAGACTAACTTTTGATGTTAAACCTGGCCGTCGGATATCGATTTGACGAGCTTCAGTTTCCTAAGTTTCTCTACCCAAACTAACAAACGTCATGCATATTATATATATTGGACTAAACATCTGCTAGTTGTGAAGGTGCATGTTATTTGAGAACGCGTTCGCTAAACACTTCCGCAGATGAACTTCGTTGTTTTTCATCTCTTGGCGCACCCTCTGGGTGGTTTTTGGCACAATCAAATTTTCTTTTGTTTGCCAGCTGTTTACCTCTCACCTACCTGTAAAGCTAACCAAATCTGTAAGACGCCTTAAACAGATCTGACGTATTTGTCTGCGAATGTTTCGCTACTCGGTTTTTGTTTTGTGTTCCTTCTCTGCGAATTCTTGAACAGAAAACAAAGGAGATAGATTGAGATCAACTTCTCCAGCCCCTGGTGTTTAGGGGGAATTTTCCAAATTCCTACCGATGTTGAAATTTGCGGTAAATGGTAAGTTGTACACATCGACATTGTTTTGTGGGTTTCTTAGTTTTATTGTTGTCGATCAAAGTTTCTCAGTACAACGCGGGACTCTTTCCCAGGAAAATATTTAAAGCAAAATGTGATTGTTTTTTCATGGCTTCCTTCACCTTTGTGCGCTGCCGGTACTGTATTGTCGAGTTTTCTTCGGTCAGAATTGATCAATTGGATTTTTTCCTTTTTTGTGAATGGTTTACACTCAAGAGTAGTCTGATAAGGATTATACACTTTCTCGTATTGCATTGACGTGTTTATTAAATTATGTCCTACACGTTTTTATAAAGAAAGACTGCGATGACTCTAAAATTCTCCGAAATATTTATTTAATTTACATGTGTGTCAAACTGTTGAGTGTGGATGAAGCAGGTGGCTATATTTATTGTTCGTCTCTAGTAACTGTAAAATTAACTGTTTCTTCGCACGAGGCAAATTTTTATTTTGCGAAATACTACTGCATGTAGACTATTAACGTTAAACTCCTCTATCTTTTTTTCCTTGGCTATGTAAGGAATCGATGTCCTTAAAAAAAAGCCTCCTAGAAAGCTAAAAGTTCTTCTCCGGATTTAGTTTCATATCTTGTTCCTAGTTTCCGCTTTCAAACAAAGCTAGCAATGTGATGCAGCCTTTCTTGTATCATAACATTTCGTTCATTTATCGAAAACTTTCCCTTCACATATGGTGACATAGATCCTTTTATGAAAACAATGTTTACCTTAACTTCGGCCGGAGTCGTTTCAGTCATTAACTTGTTTGTCGATGTGGGTGACGAGATGAAAAATAACATTTGAAATGCAGACATATAAACGGTGTTCATCGATTTTTCGCTTCTGAAACGAAATCCTTCTTACACATTTTTCTACTGTCAGGTAATTGAATCTCCTATGATAGCCTATACATATCATTCTGTACCATTATGACCTCTGGATGTCGGTGCGGCAAACTAAAATAGGATTCGTTAATTAGGAATTGTTTCTCACGAACAAAAACACAGCAGGTACTAAACTGAAGGAACACAGCTGTTATAGCCTTGACCGTCACAATAATGCCTCAGATCCAGCTACCCAAAGAATATTAAAAACAGACTAATAAGACTGAAACCACGAGGGTGAACACCACTGTTACAGTCATCTTGTTCAAACTGAACCGTATGAAGATTTTATTTAACAGCTTTCTTTTCGATGTTTACATATAAACAAGGGTTCTTTCTGAGAACTATTGCTTACAGCGAAATGAAAAGCACTCCTTTAATAGTGCGTAGTATCTGTTATGTTAACTCTTTAACTTCCAACATCATGATTAAAATTCTCCTTACTGTCTGCAATACCTTTTGTTTTGATTTGGTTTTGAGAATTTGATGTTGGATCTAATGGAAAAATCCTTTAGTTAATATTCTATATTCTCAACACTTTTTTGCTCGGTATTGTGTTGATACTGTTAGGAGAAATTATGTCTTGGTCACTCCTGGGATTGGAAAGGGTTGATGTCTAGAAGGCACGGTTTTACATTAGCGAACAATCCTTGGTTTTATTGCCATCGAGGATCAAAGAGAGCCTTCGCTCAGGTTTTCAAAGCGAGACTCGGAGTAACAATCCCTTTTCGAAGGTTCTTCAAGAACAGCTGCGTGAATTCTCGGTTTCAAACCATTTATATGGTTGGAGACTCGACAACTTTTTCAAGAAATTTAGTTTTCTTACTGTTTAATGTTTTGTTTGTTTGTTTGTTTTTTCGGCACAGGAAATATCAACGCTCAGTCTCCCCCTCGTCAAGTTCTTTCCACGCGCCCCCCGCGGCGGGAAAACAAAAGGAACACGTTTGACGATCTCGCTTTTGAAGAGGTCATGCGCGGTAAGAGACAAGCTCTTGGCGACGGACACTTTGACCAACTGGGAGTCTGGGTTCCTGAGTCTTCACCGAGCGAGGATTCATTGAAGGAGGAGCTGTACCGTGGAGATGGAAGCTTTGGAAAGAGTTTATTGAAGGCCCAAGGATTGTTTGCAAGAAAGCGAAGAGAAGGCAGCGAACAGGAAAAGATTGTAACAGTTGTTAGTAAAAGTGGCCGCTTCGGAAACGAAAAAACCTCTGATGTGAAAGGTATACATGCTTGTTTAGCTCTGATCCATAGACGCCGCTAATAATTCATATGAGGGAATTTCAGTTATTGGATAGGACTTACTTACATGCCACGCCTAAACGTTTATTAATTTGTTTTTCCTACTGGTCGAAGCAAACAACGGTACATTCATTCAGTCAGTGGAGGCATACAATATACAGAGAAAGCTTTGATCAGCAGACACTTGCGGGACCCATCCTGGTGTCAGCTTGAAAATAGGGTCTGCTTAGTGCTGATTTCATTGTTGTTAATATTGTGAGACTTTTTTTAACATTTATTTCTTGCTCGGCTTAGTTATAACTCTGACAGGTTTCATAAGACCAGTCAGGGTTAGAACCCAGCTGAGAAGGAGTACTTTGAACGGAAAAACGTGTCCATCCTCTCTCGGTATGTTGTTCTTCGGAAGCTACAACAAAATCTTTTTTGAACATGTGTAAAATTATAGATAACGAACTACCTTGGTAGTCACTTTTATCTACAGCGACATGTTCTTCATTTGCGAATATGATGTGCGACAATTGCGTTCCACTGAGAATAACCTTCCTAGCAAGTATAAGCTTAGTCTTACCTAGCCAGAGTTTTTTCTATCTAAAACCTCTTTTTGCTGATTGAGGTCAATTCGCAAAAACGAAAACTTGCAAATTTTCCATGTTACAAGGTGACTTGTTTCACCACCCTCTGGTGTTTGTAAGCTTTCCTTTTACGCCAGGTGCAACCAAGCACTTTGATATTGCATTCTGATTCGCTATTTGAGTGCTAAAACACTTGAATTTTCTTTTGTTTTTTTACCACCAACCTGTCACATTTTCTCTCTGCGTCAGTGTTGCCATAGTTTTCCGGAAGGTTTATTTAATTTGCATTGTTACTTGGAAGGGTCGGTCAAACCGCTGCTTGTTTATGTGAACTTTTTATTCGGCAAAGGCAAGCTAATTTATTTTTGCAATTTTTAATGGTAGTGTACTTCTAAGTCTACTTGCTTTGCGCAGTTTGTGGAATATCACTCGAGGGAAACGGTGTCGTCCTTTTTCCTTCTGTTTACCTCGATAAACGTTCATTGTTAGCACGCGCATTCTCTTCTCGAATTGTCACAAATGTGTCGAAGATAAGGATTGCGGTCGCGATTGTAAGCTTTTTAGCAAATAACTGCTACTAAGTTTCTTTTACTTCAAATACACCACGTAGGCGATTGGCTTTGATCTCAAAGATGTGTTAATGCGATTTACTTCGCAGTTTCAGTGTCAAAGCAGCAAATTTATTTCGCCTGTTTTCATTAACCTGCTGTGCACCGTTTCAGGCAAGTTTTCATTTTTTTTTGTTTGTTTTTCCTCTGCAGACTTCTTCGACCTCATCAGCCGTGCTCAGGCAAACAGAATGGATGATCAGAGAGGCGAACTAAAGGGAAACTTAGAGTTGCCAGATTTTCTCAAAATTCCAGCCAGCAATAAGTCAGCTCAAGGAAATGAGAATTTCAAGGTACCTCATCCTCCTCACGCTTTCAGAACTTCAGAGAGGAACGTAACGAAGCCTGTCTTGAAGAAAACACTATCGACACCAATCGATCGTCCTGTAGAGAAAATGGATTTGATGCAAGAGCTAGCCGCAAAGTTATCAAAGAAAACGGAACCAACCAAGAAGAACCCATCGCCGAGAGTTGATCAGCAAACTGAACCGAACGAAATTCTTCTAGACTTCAATTTTAACTCAAGACCGCAACCGCAGCAGGCACAGAATTCCCAGTTAGCTGTTAACTCAGAGGAGAAACAAAAACGCACACCGAGACCCAGATCGTGTACAGATGCCAATGTGTACGCGATGGAGGCTACTCCGCACGGGATACGAGTTGAAACGAGCAATCGCCCGCAACCTGTCGCTGACGCGGAACCTCGGAAGAACGTTGCTCATGTTCACCCGTCAATACGGCCACAAGCATCGCAACCTGTCACTGTAAATAGCTTGCGTGGAATGCATTACGCTACAAATCCACGGCGCAATACTGTGGATCAAATTATGCATATTCCCTCTACAGGAAGCGTCAAACCGCAGGCAGTTGGAAGGGTTTCATCTAAATCCTCACAGAATATCAGAGACATATCACCTGCAATCTACGATGTGAGACCGGATCCGAATCACGAAGGGACATTGTTGAAAGGGTATGATAATTCGGTGAAATATTCAAGTACCCCCGTAGATATCCCTCAACGAAAACTTTTCTCGGCATACAGTTTGCCCGAGGTGAACTCCCAGAGAGCTGAGGTACATATTCCATCTGAAGGAGGCCCCCCTCCAGTTCCTCGGAGGACAGTTTCTAGTATGGACCGCCGACCCCGACCTAAACCTATTCACAACCCTAAGGAACTTTTAGCAGGACTTGAAAACACACCGGTGTCGTCGACTGAAAGAGTAGAATCACCACCGAACCCTGATAGTTCAAGAGTTGCAAGCCCTCCCCCTCCCCCTCCTACCCCACCCTCGGGCTCAATGTATGACCTTCAAATAGCCGATTTCTCTCCGCCTCCTTCGATTTGTGCTTCACCAGAGAAAACCTCTCGCTCGCCCGAGGATCGAGACACTAAAAGATCCTCGCTGATGTCAGACTCCCAAAATAACACTCCACCAACCAGAGCTAACAGTGCAAGTTTTGCTGGGACCGTAGCGTATGTTGACATGCCAGGGAAAGATTCCCAGAGACCTTTGAATTACATTAAACAGCCGATCACGCCGAATGTTAGAGTAAGCAGTTTGAACTCTTCCAATTTGACAAATTTATCCCAACGCGTGTTAAGTGAGGACCGTCTGGATGCAACCACACAGGCGTCCACTCTAGGTTCTGTGACGCCAACTGTTTCGAACTTAAACAAAACGATCACGCCATCTTCGGTAAACGATAGGACTCTTGTCGAGGAATCACTATCAGAAAATGTGACTCCGCATGCGGGTCAAAGACCGTCAATGGAAAGTGCATCTAAACGGCTGATAACCAACTCGGGAAGCGTGCCAAGAAGTAAAAGCACAGATCAGGAGAAACGTAAAAGTCGCCAGGACAGCGATATTCCTAAGCTAGACCCTTACGTCACTTACGAAAAGGAAGACTTGCGAATAACATTCGTGTAAGAAATTCACCTGTAACTACTTATGAGGGAGAAAAGAGAGTTAAAGATATATTGTGACCTGAATAGTAAAGAGTTTACACCTTTTTTGCTGCATTTTAATATTTCCCTAGCGTTACTGATGACTTATTTGAGTTTATGAATTTTAATTAATGAGATTTTTATGGAACTTCTGACAATATGAATGAATATTAATTTAAGTGATCTTTAAGATATTGAGTTAAAGTCAGAGAATCTGGAATGGATGAATGGGATGAGTTAGGTCGGCGGCGTTTACACTGGAATACAGGCGAGCCTTAAGTGTAGCTAGCCTGAAGTGTGACGCTTCTCCTAGTGGAAAATGAAGATCCTTTTCTGAAGAGTAAATATTTCTTATTTATGTTACTAAGAAATAGGCTTTTTATGTATTTTATTGGCTAGCGAGATGAATCTAATTTTGTTGTTCACGATGATGATGACGTGTTTATTTCCTTATTGAAAATCGAAGAACCACTTGTTTCCTATAACTTGCTGTTTTCGTTGCATGCGATGAAGTATGCAATGGCGTAAAGGTCATTATGGCGTCACGCATTCCACCTTTAAGTTTTGCGTGACAGCAAGAAAATGTCGCCCTCATGACTTTTGTAATAATCTTTATGGGAGCATATTTTTTTATATCTTTCCTTCAATACAACTTGTACCGTTCAATAATATGGAAGGTATTGTTTAATTTTTTCATGTTTTGGAGACTGAATTTTTTCAGAATGGTTATTTGCTTATTTATGAGGTTGTCAACACTACGTTTTTTGGTCATATTTACCTTTTAGTTTGAAAGGCAGCCAAAGTGTATAGTTTTGTACCAAAGAGGAATCAATTATGAAATACACTGATTGAAATTGTATCAACGTGGTCGAAAGAATCTTTTTGACAGTGGTATCTTTAGTTGATAAAAATGGTAACCAATTTTTCATAGTTTTACTATGATGACGTACACTGAAAACTTGTGGTACACCAAATGATACATTTCAAACACAGGAATTCTTCAGTAATTTAAATTGTAACCAATTAAAACTGATTGAATTTGTGAGCGATCATATTCCTGAAAGTTAGGTGATTTAGACCTTTTTAAAAGGAACCGCGCGTGGATTGCAGAAAGTATAATCACTCGTTGGTCATTATCTTTATTTACATTTGGTGGCTCTTAAAAGAGCCGTTTTGTGTGCTGCGGTCAAACAACACTTTACTTGCTGCTAGAGTACTTGGTGACCGCCTTTGTTCCCTCACTCACAGCGTGCTTAGCCAGCTCACCGGGCAACAGCAACCTAACGGCCGTTTGTATCTCACGAGAACCAATTGTGCTCTTCTTGTTGTAGTGGGCGAGGCGGGATGCTTCGCCGGCAATCCGCTCGAAAACATCATGAACGAAAGAGTTCATGATTCCCATAGCTTTACTGGAAATTCCTGTGTCGGGGTGGACTTGTTTGAGCACTTTGTAGATGTAAATGGAGTAGCTTTCTCTTCGCTTTTTGGTTCTCTTCTTCCGATCACCTGACGCTCTCTTTCCACTCATTTTCTTAGCCTTCTTTGCACCTGCTTTGGGAGGCATTCTCCTGATAATTAAGAATACTCGCCACAAACCTCAGGTAAGAATGATAACTTTCGTACATTCAACGAATTTGGTTATACACTCGGACAGAAATTTATAGCAAAAACCACAGGATCAAAAATTGCTGGGATCGAAATTGCTGATATTCGATTGGCTGGCCAAATATAAATTTGCCGCCCGAGGAAACAAATTATTTTGCTGTTTCATGATTGGCTGACCTGCAGATGCAATTACTTATCTTATTGGCGCATTTCGATCCATCTGCATTCATAAAGCATGGAAAAAATTTCCTTCAACTGCCTTTAGAGATCTGTAAGTTTGGAAAATTAAGCTAAGGGGTTTCTATTTTATTATGACGGGTCGAGGAAAGTCAGGTAAAAGCCGTAGCAAAGCCAAGAGTCGTTCATCTCGAGCTGGACTTCAATTTCCAGTTGGCAGAGTACACCGTCTTTTACGTAAAGGAAACTACTCGGAGCGAATCGGTGCGGGCGCTCCAGTTTACATGGCAGCCGTTCTCGAGTACTTGTCCGCTGAGATCCTTGAGCTTGCCGGCAACGCTGCACGGGACAACAAGAAGACCAGAATTATCCCAAGACATCTTCAGCTCGCCATCAGGAATGACGAAGAGCTGAACAAGCTCCTTGGTGGGGTCACTATTGCTCAAGGAGGTGTTCTCCCCAACATCCAAGCTGTTCTTCTTCCAAAGAAATCCGAAAAGAGAAGCAAGCAGTAAATTGCCTTCTGAGGAAAAACCAAACGGCTCTTTTAAGAGCCACCAAAATTTCAAAAGCAATGTCCAACAAACCAATCGGAAAATAATTTTTCCCCTTTATTTTCTACTCAAACAAAAATATATCAGAACACATTCCTTTTAGTACCCCACCTTTGTCTTGACAAACACTTGCACGATTCAAATACCCAGATTTCTGAACTAAACCATAACTAGCTACATATTTGCTAAGAATCACAACCAATCAGTAGGTGAAACTCAAAAGCCTTTCCGTCGCAGATTCAGAAAAATATTAGAATAACTTGACATATAAATACAAAAATAAGTCCTATTAAAAAAACATCCACGGTCATTTACAACCATCTGTTTTCTATTCGCAATAATTGGAAGACTCAATCTTTTTCCAGAAAGCTTTCTTGCCCTTTAACTTTTCCACATCTTTCTCTGATGAATTTAATCTTTCTACATAAGCCCTTCAGATCTTCATTGCTTATTTCAGTGAACAAGTTTAAAGACGGAATGAAGAAATGGGGACAATTCTTATCACGAGCGAACGACTCTAAAACCTCGACGAGACCATGAAAACGAGAAGGGAGTTTCTCTTCGGTCCACTGATCTACATCAGAAAATTTTGCGCATTCGTGCAACAAAACAGTCTGTAATAGGTATGGCTTAAGAAAATTGCAACCAAGTTTTTTGTAAACCAATGTTTTAAAGAGCTGAAAACTTTCCCATCTTTGAGGAAATCTTTTGAAATCGAGCTCAAATCTCTCTGCTTTGCAATACCAAATTCTCCAATGATACTCCACCGAGGTAGCTTTCGAAACCAGCTGAATCCCACAGTTAACTGTTTTCCGTTTAGAAGGCGAGTTTCTTTTGTGACCCAGTTTTTTTCCTTTTGAAGGATAAGTGTGAATCGGCAATAAACCTTCGCAATCAATAGCAGTTAACAAGTCAACAGTTAGTATCAAACCTCGGAAGTCAATCTCAACACGGACCTCATTGTCAGAAGAAATATTCCTGACCTCAATGCCACGGGTTGTTTTGTTATGGTATAGCTGCAAATATAACATGTCTGTAAGCAATATGGACAGAAGATTAGAAAATGCATTTCGTAACATTTTCGATGACAAATATTCCTGTCCGGAAGAAGATCTGCTGCATTCACTTTTCCATGTGTTGAGAGTGTGCGTGTTTTGAATCACCTCGACCAGCGTGACACCCGGAGAACATCCTTCTTGTTGCAAACGTATTTCGGCAGGGCGAAGGCTGTCTGGACTAAGGAAAAGAAGCAATTCAAAATGGTTCCTCTCCTTTTCCGTGAAGAAACTTGACGCATCGACAGGTTGGAATGAAAACTTCGAGTCGTATTGTGCCACAGCGCTTAAGAGAATATTCACGACTGATTCCACTAATTCGAAGGGCGAATCCTTCGCAGTGTCTCCTTCTCCATTTTCAGCTTGCAACATTGGTACCACATGGTCTATCCAGCGCGGATTTGACTGTAATTTGTGAAAAAATGCTTTCCTAGTCGAGGTATCCATATCCTCCTTCGTTTCAACAATGATTTTTGCTTTTTACCTTACTGTGGTATCACAAAGATTCAGTTACGAAGCAGCACTGAAAAATACACCGCAAACTAATGTAATCAACTGTTTAAAAATTAACAGCGTTCTCATGAATACAGGGGAACCTTTGTTGTGGTTTTCAGGTCCACCGAATCGTAATATGGAAATTATTTAATGAATGTGCGAATTTCAAACTTAAATATATGCATTCTAGTTGCTCTCTTTTTCAAAATGTCGATCAGGCGTATTCATTTGTTTCGGCCATTTTAGCCCTTTCTCGGTTTTCAGTACGGACTGAAAATATGGATTATTCGCAGAAGGCAAAGTGAATACTTTTTAATAATCCCCGAGACGAATATTGGGGGATAAGTCAGCAATATTCACTGAGCCTGAGACAAAAAAATCGTTTAAGCTTATCATCCATAAGATTGTCTGCGCAATAGAATAAATTTTATTTTAATATTCCTTGCTTCTAATTTGAGACGCATCAGTAGTGCACGACCATAAAAAGAGACGTAAAACTTTTATTTACTGTTTACTTCCGCGCTTTCGAATTATGTGGTAAATTCGTTTTTTAGTTGCAGCCATTTTGTACATACAAAAAGGACTGTGCATATTTTAATGTGACTATTTTGGTTACTCGAATTGAGATAGGCAACCAGTTTCCATTAGAATCTGACAGAATTGTAATTTAAGCGCTAAGCAGCCATTATGAAATTTAAACACTTCGCGTTAGGTGATTGTAGCGAGACTTCACACAATCCTCGACCAATCAGAGCGCGTGTATCTCTATAATCAGCTGAGAAACAATATGAAACCGCGACGACGGTTTTGTTTCAGTCAGACGTCCATTTGTCCTTACAGGTTTCGTAAAAAAGACGACTCAAAAAGGGCATTCACATTTCTAATTTTAATAACAGCCTTGTGGAAGCCCGTACCAAAAACTTTTCGTTACAAATTTTATATCACACCTTTGCTTGATCGATACTTTCACGATTTGACGTTTTTTGGGAACCCTTTAAACCCTTAAAGTTACCAGCATCTTAATTCTCCTAACAGTAATATTACTGAAATGTTCATAAAAATCACGAGAATGAAGAAAATGATCACCAACCTAGGATTCTTTAACTTGATAATCAAATTTTCCTTTTCGGTACCAAAGGAAAAATACAGAGAAGAGTATGGAGAATATGAATACTGATGTTGGGGTGTAAAAGGTTTAAAGGGGTATAAAAGAAATGTCTGCAGAGGTTTACAAAATCTTTCTGGAGGGTTCAGAGCCATCTTAACTTATCAAAAATTGAATATCTGAGCCATAAAAAATTTCATGACAAGTAGACAAGCACTCTGATTTGAAAACTACAGGAAAATGATATTCCTTTTAAAAAGGAAAAAATTCTCCCCCATACTTAAGTATTTTCCTTATTCCATTACAGGCATTTTGTGGCCAAAGTGCTAATTCCTGACTATTTTACAGCACATGAAATGCTAGGAATCTACCTGCAACTGACTAGCTTCTCATTCAGAAGGAATCAAGATAGTCCATGTTGCTTCATGCTGGAAAAAACCAGCAATACACATGGTCCAAGCCTGTCAGATCTTCTTTATTTCATGTTAAGATTTCATAGATGATGAATGGTGGTAAGCTTTTGTACAAATTCAATATATTAGCTGTTCACAAAGAAAAAAAATTACACATCTGACATAAAATTTCCCATCGCCAATGCCTTTTTACTGACTTTTTTCATAAACTTTGGCTTCCTTAACAAGCACAGAAGCAAGTCTATCCTTAGTTATCTGGGGTCCATTTCATTCAAAATTCCTCTTCATATCATAATTGCAATATTATCACATGAGATTTCTATTTTTCTTTCTTTACCCTACCCATTGAATAAAACTCCTCATTTGGTCGCATGTTTGTTAAATGAGCCATTCTATTTGACAATGCAAACAGTCCAGCAATAGCACCAACATCCCAAGCATCTTCAGTGTCCAAGCCATGCTTTTCAAGAGCTGCTATATGTTCATCTTCTATTGTTTCTGATCTACAAACACGCATTGCAAACTGAATTATAGCCTTTTCTCTTTCTGTGAGGTCAGCACTGTGCCAGTTGGCTGTTATCTATAGAAACCACAAATAAAAAAATTAATCAAAATAAAAATAACTATTATTGACACTCCCAAAATAGTAGTGGACTCAATAGCAGTCTAAATGAAAACATTTGTTATAATAATTTATCAAAATTTATCAAATTTGTCAAATTTTTAACTCCAGATATTACAATTCTAGTGCTCTAATTAATTCACTCAACCAGCCTATCAGCTAAAATTTGGAGTCACCTCATGTGGAAATGCTTTGCCCCAACTGTTGCAGAGCTGAAAAAAGGCTCCAAATACTCCAATTTTCAATAAATTTTGATAAAGCAGTGTTGCATGCCAACTCAGCACTGCATGCTATTTACCATCTCATATCTATTACCCACTCGTGGAATAATTGTTAAGTACATATGTACATGTACTAAATAATTTGCAATAAGATAAGCTATGGAATTCTTAAGAAAGCCCTTTAGGTATTAAGTGATTTTACCTGATCTCCTAGTAGAGGATTTTTTGAGTAGATTCTCAACAGGGCACCATGAGCCACAATACAATACATACAGCTGTTTGCTGAACTTGTTGCAACTACAATCATTTCTTTTTCTGCTTTGGTAAGGTTTCCTTCTTTTAGCATCAGAGCATCATAATACATAAAAAAAGCTCGGAATTCATCTGGTCGATGAGCAAGAACTTTGAAAACATTTGGTAAAAAACCACCCTAGAAAGTAAAGAAATGCAAAATATACAGTTTCATTTCTGGTAACAGACATGCCTAAAGGAATAAGATAAATAACAGCTTGTTTTCTTCTCTATTTCTCAAACAGGTTTTAAGTTTAAGGTTAATACACTCTATTGTGCTAACCTTGTTTATTGACAGTGTCCAATCATTAGGGCGTAGGTTACTGGAGAAGTGATTTTGGAATCCAATAAAAATTCTTGGATCTGCCCCTTATGATTACCTTGCGACTAGAACTGCTTCTCAGGCTGCTGGAAATTGCCATAAACACAATTAGCTTTGTCCTGTTTTTACACATTATCATATTTGCTTTAACCCTTTACCCCCAAGAATAGTAATTCTCCTTACTGTCTGCCCTACATTTCCCACAACATGGCTTCTGAGAAATTATTGTTAGGTCAAAAATAATCCCCTTGTTGATGTTTTTCTCCACTCTTATCACCTACCTGCTTGATGGTGTATTGTTATTGTAAGGAGAAAGTAGTTCCAGGTCACCTCTGAGAGTGAATGAGTTAATCCAATTACTCCATGTATTAAGAATACATTTCCTTGGCCCTCATAGGTCGTTTACTTGGCCTCCCCTGTACTTTAGTTTTGTCAAGGTAGCCACACAAAGTCTTATGCAAAATGGAGCAGGTGTATGGAGGCTAAAAACTGTGACCTAAACCATAACCCTTCTATGACTTTCCAAACCTGCACTCACACCTATCTTCAAAAAACTCAATAATATAAACTTACATCTGCTCTTCTGGCCTAGTGGCCATGAAGGTGGACAATTTTTGGAGCTGGATCAGACACCATCCACCACATTTTACTGTGTATTCTTCAAGAAAAATACCTATGACCCAAAGGTAATCTATTGTTTTGGTATCGTTTTCTTTTATCAAGGAACGCCCCGTGTTCTTCCGCCGGGTAAGGCTTAAATTTTTTGTAATAGCAATTTCACCTCTACACGATCTAGTGACCATGGTTATTTACCTACCTTCTCCTCTACCTCTTTCATTCTCTCCTGCATGTCTTCAGGCAATGTATCCATATTCGGAACAGGGAAGCGGCTGATCGGCTTCTCTTGGCTCATGTTCCTATTCCCCACTGCAGCGACAAATTTTTCAGCCAACGATTTCCCCTGAAACAAAGGAGGCGACTTTAAATACCTCAGACCTCTTCCTACCATGCGAAACGCCATTCTTTGGCTTGGCCCTCTGTTGTCCGTGTTACATGACAAAGGTTGTGAACTTTGGTTTGACCGCTGCATTTTCGGTTTGTGCCCAGTTTTTCTCCAAGACGATCTTCATCCCATGACGTCACGCTTAGCAGCCCCGACTTTAGTTGCTACACAGTATACAGTGCGTTCTGGGCAACTTTCGTGATCTTCGCGCAGAATGGTTAGTAAATGATCCTCAAAATCGTTCCTTACTTGAGGCTTAGTAGCTAACAATAATTTTTGCAGGGTTTGCTATCGCTTCTGCGAAGTCTAAAGTCAAATGCAAGTAAGGAATTGAGGATTCTTTTCCTTGGTTTGGACAATGCCGGCAAAACTACGATTTTGAAGCAGCTTTCTCATGAAGAAATAACTCAGATCACCCCAACGCAGGTATGTTATGTGCCTGTTTTCGTCGACGATGAAGGCGAGAAATAACGCCCTAATTAAATGTGTTTCCTTTTCAGGGATTTAACATCAAAAGTGTCCAAGCCCAAGGTTTTAAGTTAAACGTATGGGATATAGGAGGTAAGCGTAGCTTTGCTGTTATTACGTGCAAAAAAATCATAGTGTTTTCAAACAATGTCCTGTTGAGTAATCTTATTATTTGAGAGTATTCGTGTACTCAATTATTTTGATGTTTGAGAACTATCGGCTTAGAGGACAAGTTTTGCATTATTTGTCTTCTTTTATTAGGTCAAAAAGCCATTCGTCCGTATTGGAAAAATTATTACGAACACGTTGACGTTCTGGTAGGTATTGATTGACAGTCATTAGACAATTCACCAAAATCAGCAATAATAACTTCCGAAATTAACACTTCAGTCTTATCTTTTTAGGATATTTCCAGCGAATTTGTTTGCTTAAATATCTGCCAGTGCTTGGTTTAATACCCACTTGCTGTGCTTTCCATTTTTCCTCAGGTTTATGTTATAGATAGCGGAGATCGGAAGAGAATAGAGGAAAATGGTATTGTAAGTATTGCATACTACTTATTACCACTCTTTAAATTATAAATATTGCGTAAATTCTGTCATGCAAGTCTCTTAGACATTGGTAATCTTCACTTGTTTGTTCTCAAGCTTGTAATGTTCAATGCGAGTGTGTTTGAAGTTTTGAAAGTTACTTTCAATTGGAAGTTGTGGTACCTCCTGTTTGACAGTAGGCACAGAATTTGATAATGAAGTTAATTTATATGGTAATTCTTTGTAGATGGTACAATATCTTTTTCTTTAGGAACTAGAAGAGCTGCTCTCTGAGGAGAAACTATCTGGTGTACCTATGCTTGTTTTTGCTAATAAACAGGATCTTTTGGGAGCTCAACCTCCAGATGAGGTAACTAATAACTTACTTTACATTAATTTCCGGTACTCATATTCCTTGAAGGACAAGTTAACACTACAGACTAATCCCCAAGATGTTGAAAGATAAGAAGATCATTATTGAGAATGATGTTTTTCATCTTTTCATGACCATGGGACAAAGAAAAAATTGTGAGTCCCCATGAGGAATCAAAACTCAGACCTTCAGATGCTGCACTCTGTTGCTCTACCACTGATCCACAGAGACTCTGTGGTGAGCAAGGTCCAGTACAAAGTTCCTATATGACACACATCCTGCATACAGCAAGGATTGGCAACACCGATTTTTAGTTTCTAAAAATGATTACTCACTTAAAGCTAACAGGAATTTTCTCCTGTCTATGCACTTCTTTTTTTAGAAATATTAACAAAATTATGGGGATCTTTTTTTGAAAATATCGTAAAAAAAACCCTTTTTTTATGCAGTCAGCATTCTAGATAGACCCTCCAAAATTAAGTTAGGAAAAAGATCTTTAATGTGCTACAAAGAGGACACTAGGATGGATGATATACAACATTCAAGCTCACCTAAACCAAAGATTGCATCTAGTCATTGATTGAGATGCATGTGCTGCGTTTTGGACATAAACTTAACAAGGAAGTTTGCCATGGATTTATCTTTGCAAATCTTTTTAATTCACTATATCTGATGAAGCATTCTAGTCGCCAATTTGGTGACTGATTTTGAGGATTTGCTCACCAAAGTGAAAAATTTAGTAGCATTGGTGCCTGTATTAGGCACAATTTCATGCCCTGTGAACATCCTTCAGTAGAGAATTCTACCCTCTGGAAAAAAAGATGCCCCTTCCAAAATCACCAGATAGAAATTATTCTTATTATATTTTCCAGGGTGATTCTGACTTGTGGCAATCATGTACCTTCATACTTTTAAACGTACTTTTTAAAAACCTTGACCCTTGAGGGGTCATACTATGAAGGCCAGCCACCTACTTGGTGGATTCAAGGGTTACTGAAATTGTGGAAAACTTTTGTTGAAGGTGTACATTTATCTTGTCTCTCAAAAAACACACCATATTGACCCAGCTTTCGTGTAAATCAATCCAGAATACAGCATGCATGCTTACCACTAAGCCACCATCCTCTTACTGTTTATTTGATTGTCTAATTTGTATTTTATTATGGTGAGCATCAAGGTATTTCAACACTTTTCTGCTATAAAATAATCACACAATTTCTTTTGTAAACTGTTACTTTGTACAGATATCAGATAAATTAAGCCTTCACACAATAAAAGACAGAAAATGGCAGATTCAAGCATGCTCAGCAAAAAGAGGGGAGGGTATTAAGGTTTGTATACTCTTCTGACTTGCAAAGTTGTTTACCATTGTCTTGTCATTGTAGTGTTTGACCCAATGACTCTAACTTGTTCGTTTTCTTAACATGAGGAATAAATTAACAAGTTTGTGTAATGCCTGACAATATACATGTATCAACTGAAAACTTCTATACCTTGATCATTTAAAACATGAACATCTTGTGTACAATTTCATTATCACAGCAAAGGGCCTATGCTTAAGTCTTCCTACTCAATTTCATACTGATGATAAACTAAATCTCTCTTAGCCAATCTTGAGTCAAAAACTGTTTACACTGAAAGCATTCCTCCTCTCTCTATTGCTCTGAATGTGTGTGTCATCACAAACGTCTCCCTAAATTTTTCTTGTGCATTTATGTAATACCTTATGCACAGCATTCTCATAGCTCATATTGATAGTTGTCGGTAATTAAGAATAATTAACAACTATCCACCTAAATGGAAGTGGCTACCGATATTTACAAAGCTGCAAAGCAGGGAGGTAAATAATTAACTCTAGCCAAGGTCTCTGAGTTGAATAGTTGTTTAAGTATCTACAAAAACAGAAAGATAATATAGCACAAAAAGATGATTATAACTCTTTGGTTCTTGCTACAAAGGTAGTGTAAAACTCAAGAGTTTCTGAAAGGTAAATAGCCAAGGATATTAAGGGTTTGAGTAGCCAGTCAGGGCATGTCCTCTCTGTCATCCACTGTTTTAGTAGATACTAATAATCACTCTTGTTTTAAAAAAGTTTGCCCCAACTTTGTATTGCTGTTTGTTCTTGCCTACTTCAATAGTCAGAGTTTTTAATGGGTGAGGATACCAGCGAAAGTGAAGTTAATTGTAATTTGTTCATTAATTTGTGTTTTTCAGGAAGGATTGGAATGGGCATTGAAGAATATTTCAAGTGTTTCAAAGAAATAAATTTTTAGTTTATATGTAATACATTTTACTCACCTCTAGTGCTTTCTTTTTATGTACAAAATAAGCCAATCAGTTTTCATGTCAAATCACCAGTCATACAATTTATCACTCTTTATTGCATGCCATATCTTATAAGGGTGCAGATTGCGTGTGTGTTTCTCACCAGCTTGCTAGCTCACCAGTACCTCTAGCTTAGATAAACACAATAGACAGAGATGAAAGTCCTGCTTTTAAGTATATGTTAATGGAAAAGAATTCTAACAAAAAAAAGAAAAGTTGTGGCTCATCTGATTTTTGTAGCACCATTATTATGCATTATACAGCCTGTGTTAGTTAGTTTTTAAGTTAAACATCTCAGGCTGTAAATCATGGCTAATCTGTTTAAGCTTCACTGTATCATAGGTGTATTTTGTTCAAAAGTTGACGTGTATTATTGGAGAATGTGAAGTTAGTCATTTATCTCTCTTATTTCAAGCATGACAGGTAACATAAATATTCAAACCAGTAGAGCGATCCTTTAACTGTTGAATTTTCAAGAACTCCAAAGAGTTTTGGGCAGTACAAGAGTTACTACAGGTGGTGAATTTCAATGGTTATAGCCTGAATAGGAGAACACTGTGAGTGTTACATTCTTGTGTAATGAAACAATGTCAGTGTCTTGTAGGGAATGTATTGTTAAGTTATTATTGTCATTGGTTGCTTAAAATCTTGTTAGTCAGGTATTAGCCTGAAAGTGGGCTCCTATTGGTGTTGTGACAAAAGTTGCAAATCACTCAACAGGTTTTAGTGGTCTGATCTTGCGGACTTGCAGCTCCTACCTTAGCACCAAGGTGCTGGCTTTGCAGGTTTAGTTGCTTTAAATGCAATAATTAACTATTAGCTTAATTACTGTGCCTCAAGTTGTCCAGTTATCATTAAATTGTTATTGTTATCATAAATGGATGTTAATTTTTTTTTAATAATCTACAACTATTTTATGAAAGCAATAGACCTTACTCAAGACCAAAGGCAAATCATAAGCCAAAAGTGTTCTCCCAGCATCTTGCAGGGGTTATTAGCTTTCTCAACTGACAGAAAACGTAATACATAGCTAGTGAAACACTAAATCCTATTGACAAAGAGATATGTGGCAGTTGAAAAACAAATAAATAATAACTAACCCTGAGGGGTCATCCCTGTAATTAACCCTCAACTCTAATAGGTGATAAACATGTTACTTCTCCCAATAGTATACAAACATTTTCTGGCAAACAGGTATTGAGAATGCACAAACTCATTGTGTAGGAGCTATTGTCTATCTAACACCATATTCTCGTAACTAATTTACAAGCAAATGTTTATCAGCTAGAGGGGAGAATTTACAATTAGATCTTGAGAGTTGAAGGGAAAAGGGATTTTACCCACTTCAGGGCATATACACTGTGTATTTTTAAATACAAATGATTTCTTTACTGTTCTTTTTTTTGGAAGGTTCCTATACATTTTTGGTGAATCCTTGTTATATATCTAGTGTACAATCTCTTTATAGTTGTGTTTAATAATTATTTTTTTGTAGCCATGTGTTATTTGATCTTGTATTTGGAATTGATTACTGTTTCAAGTTTTGCACAAATAAATACCAATAAATAAAGAATCGAGATAGTTGTTTCCAAGAAGTAAAATGTGTTTATGTAGATGTAAAAATTCTACATCAATCAATTTAACTCAAATAGTTAAATCTGAGAATGAGGGCAAAACATTTAAGTTAAATGCAGGAAGTTGAAATCAAATCTTTAGAACTAACAAAAAATCATAATCTTAATTGCAATGTGGAATGAATACCTCTTCGAAAACACTTACTAACAACAGGAAATATTATATCAATCATCAGAAAAGAATAATTCCTGGTTGGCTCAAGTGTCAACACATCTATCTCTTAGTCAAATTTTTAGCTTTTCAAAAAATGTCCCTTTGAGAAGGCACCATGTTATGCTCAGTGCACCTTAAAAAACTTATTCCATCAAAGTTTTGATAATCATGGTCAGAGAATCTTATCTTTGTTAATATTTTTCATGTTCCCCTTCAGTTGAATTGTACCCTCCTGGTGTTGCCCCTCCATTCTCCAACAGTTACCGTAATTTCCGGTCGTTTACCCGCACGGCCGATTACCCGCACCGGCCGATTATTGCATACGGCGAAAAAAAAAGTCAACAGATTACCCGCACTGGTGGATAACCCGCACGTCGTTATTCAACTTTTTGGTGGCGAAAACGTGACATTAAGGTGATACATTTCAGTCTTTTAAAAGTTGTCTGATCCAACTTTCGAAAACTTGAAAGCGTCTTTGTCGAGTTTAAAGGTCAAAGAAATTCAGACGCGTGCACAATTCTGTGTCAATATTAGCATGTACTTTATTGATAAGATTATGCAGTAAAAACACTAGCGGCCCATGCCCAAATCTCAACGTTTCATACTTGACAGAATGCGAATTTGTGGCCACATTTTGTGCGAGCGATCGTTCAGCGCCATGTTGATTTGTTGAAAGAAAGCTGGGTCGGAGATTTCTGAAAAAAATAGATATCTTCGGTTCTATTGAGGCTAATAAGTCCCTTAAAACGGGAAAATTCTCTTTAGCTCAAGCTAGCGTTAAAAGGAAATTTGTTACTGATGCGCCGGATATCTATGGATAATTTTTGTCAACATCAAGGTTTTGTTTTCACGCGTGCCGATAATAATTTGTTGGTCGCGCAACTAATTATGCGTGAAATAAACTCGAGTCGGCATCGTGTTTTCGTGCCGCTTTGCGGCACTATTAACCAATAAAATTTACTTATGGAAACGCATGTTGGTGATATTTTTTTTCAATTCAATTACCACTGGATTTTAAAATTGTCACATAATATTACCCGCAGTGGCGCGCGTTTAATGCAAAATCAACAGATTACCCGCGGGTAAACGACCGGAAATTACGGTACTTCGGGTTGACCAAATTTATGACTTAGTGTCACAGAAATTTAACTCAAAACTCAGACAGGTGAACCAAACAGTAACACACCTGAACATAATTTTAGTCGCATTCTTTATTTTCAAATCTGTAAACTATATTATATACAGAAAGCCTCCAAATGAACTGGCAACTCATATTTTCATGAAAAATAATTACCCAGTACTCCACAGAACATTCTTTTACAGAGCAACTTTGCCCAACTTTAATGTCCTGCAGTAATCCAGATTGCAATTCCATCAAATTATTGCAATTATAACAAAAATTTACAAATCATTGAATCCTTTTCTTTTTTGGCAATGGCATTGATACTTTTGTAACATTTCCTAGGAGTACATATTACCAATGATGGCCTGAACAAAGTCTGAGGTACTTGCACTGCCACCCATGTCCATGGTTAACTAAAAGTAAGAGAGAAATATTTAATTTCTTCTGTAACAATAGCAAAATGCACTCTTATATTGGGTAAATTTTCAATGAATGCTTTCATTTTTGTAGACATAGGGTTTGAAAATTGGGGATTACCACTTCAGGTATATCCCTAGATATTCCTCAGTTTTAGCTGGGTCATATTTAATCATGTGATGAGTTTGCACCAATTGTGCATGTGCAAAAACAGTTGATTGAATTTCCCAGTATCCTGTCATGTGAAGTTCCTAGACCAGTCATATACAAGTAAAAAAATTGTGTTAGCAATGATTCCAAGTAAATCATACCTGTCCTTCAGCAATTGTCTTCTCTAGACCATCCTTGATCATTTTAGCATAAGATCCAAGACTGAAAAACAAGACATGGAACAACTGTTCTATTAAAAGAAATTGGATTCATTTTTGGCTGATGTGATATTTCAAAGAAGGATTTCAAATGTTTGGTTGTTCTCTTGCATATAAGACTTGATCCTTCACAAAGTTCTTTTATTTTAAGGTAAATGCGAGCATACAAGTGTGCTTCTTCTCTGTAGAAAAGCTTCCTGCAGAAACAATGAATCAGATATTCTTGCAAATAAATCAGTTAACTACATCAACCAACTATATCTGATGGTTTGTGGGTTTTTCAAAGTCCAAAAGATGGATAAGAAAAAACTTACTTCATATGATCCAGCATATCAACACTTGCCAAAATCATGGCAGTTGGGTTTGCAATGTTTCTGCCTGCCACTCCAGCATATGTATGGCGAGCTCCCTATCAGAAAATATTTGAGGAAAATCAAAAGAAGAACAAAAATTAATTCCTTATTTCTTGCCTTAAATTATAAATTTTAAGTAAGATTTCATGTAATGATTACACTATTAACAGTGTTGTATTATTTATGCGACTGTGATAAACTGTATTGTTTCTGTTTGACCAGTTTACAACAGAGAATGTATGAACTAGCAAAATTTGGCGAATACTAAATAAAAATAATAGCTTTATGATAAATTCAGAAATTTGGTTTATTTCTTGTAATTTTCCTTGCCTTCTTAGAGAGTAAAAAAAAATACACAACTTTACATCTGTGCATATCATATATTTAACCATTGAAAAATAATTTAATAACTTCATTTTTTACAAAACATGGTTTAGTTTTTTTTCTACTTGAGTTTTTTTTTTAATGTTTTAATTAATTTACTGCAAGAAATACTCACAGGCTCAAAAATGGCAAAGTTACTTCCAAGACTTTTTCCAGGCACGACTCCTGCACCACCCACCAATGCTGCCCCAACATTGTCCACAATACTGCCATACAAGTTTGGCAATACCATGACATCAAATTGGCCTGGCTTGGCAACAAGCTGAAGATGAAATTACAAATGAAAACAAATATTTATTATTATGAGAAGACCAGGGAGTATTTTTAGCACCCCTTGAGAAACACTGCAATAGCCTTTGGCCATCACTGAAGCCCTGATCACAGTGTGATGTCCATACTTATTTATTATGAACGTAAGGCTCAGGCATTTTTCTTAGGAAGGAGTGTACTACAAAGGAATGAGGTAACTGACGTCTACTGCGGCAAAAAGAAGTGCTAATACTCAAAACTTCCATGTCAAATTACCAATTTTGCTGCATTTAACTCAAATTCTTCAACCTTGTCTATGTTTTACTTCAACATCAATAAATCACACTGTTTTTTTTCTCTTTTATAGTTATATAAAGAAATCCTAGTAGTCCTATACTAGTTATATAAGAAATCCACAAGTGATCTGAGGGGGGGGTGTGCATCCCCTGCACATCTCCTCTTGATCCACCTCTAAGGCTAAAATTAGTAACAGGGTAATACCTTATTTTTTGCATACCTGCATGCAAGTGTTGTCTACTATCATTCCTTCAAACTTGATCTTGGGGTACAGTTTGGAAACTTCTTCACAAGTTTTCAGAAATAATCCATCACCCTGCTTCCTGGTGTAACAAAAGAAAAACAAACAGAGAAAAAAAGACTGAAAAGAAATTTCAAAAAATCTTTTAAAATGATTAGAGTCAAACGAGCAGCTTTAAATGAAAATCAACATTAAAGATGTCCAGAGAAACTGTAAAACTGTATAATTATCCATCAAAATTTACAATTTCATCTCTCTAAGTTCCAGTGTACATTAACAAATTCTATGACCAGATGTCTGATGCAAAGAACAGATTGATCTCAATCACAGTCATCTGAATCTTTCATTTACTTTGGATTTTAATTCTCTTGGATATATTCATTGACAAGTACTGTTATACACCAAATATCTGCATTCCATCTCTTGAAGTTTATCACTGTAATGATAAGAAGGTGGCATTTCACTATACAGTGAAAAATGTGTTACACCTCTTAGCTCTTTTAATGACCAGTGCTCTTACGTTTGTAAATTGTTTATTTGTTTACTTAGCTTACATGATGTTTGCCTTGTGAACAGCGGTGACTTTCTGTCGTTTGTGCTTTGTTGCATAATCAAAAGCAAACTTGGCAATCCTTTCAGATTTCTTCTTGGTTATAACCTTAATCATTTCAACTACTCCTGGTACACTCTGCAATAAAAATTAGGGAAAATAAATGAAAATAATCCTCATGATAACAATTGTAATTATAATATTTCATCCCACTTGCTTCAGTGGTTTCATTGGGGTCTTTAAAAAATTACACAAAATCTTTAACTTTACAAATAAAATGGGTAAAACAATTTCAAACCACCACTTAACAAAGACAAAAAAAAAATAATTACACCTAAGTTTCATTATCATTTTCAATCATTCATTGCCTATCAACAAACTGTCATTGCTGGATATATTATCTACTTACTGCATTTCCTTGAATAGGCACCACACTCTAGCGATTGTCCCCCTTGAATAAATGCCCCCTACCCTCTCTACCCTCACTTTCTCAATTAGTGGGATCTAAGGTATACCTGTTTCTAGTGCCACTTCATTTACAAAGTGCCTCCCCACAATTAAGTGCCCTCCTTTCAATAAGTGCCCCTCCTTTTAGCCTAGATCTTAAATAAGCACCTGGGCACTTATTCAAGGACATATGGTAACAGTTCTTATTTTACTTACATTTGAGTTATTATCAAAATCATATGGTAAATTCATCATTTTTACATGAACATGCTCAACAAATAGACTCCATGTTACTGTAATTCTGTTTAGCAATAGATCACAGATCATGTCAAACGTTGTGGGAACAAAAGAGAAGCACATGAGGTGCAGCCAAGTGTGTCACTGACAGTCTTATCACACTTTGACATCCTCTATGAGTTATTACTGTACAGACCCACAGCTGAATAAAATCTATTTGTTTCAAATGATAAAAAAGCAAAATGCTGTCAATGGCGATGTCATCTATACAGACCTCATGCTCCAAACTTGTGTATTCTCCTTCTGTTTGTTCTCTAATGATTATCATATCTATATCAGTGTGCCTTGGGAACACAACCACACATGCAATTAGTTACTAGAATGACAGTATGAAATTAAGATATACACTGACACTACCACTGGAAAAGCTGTTAAAGGAAATAAAATGAGACATCTAAAATGAAAAAAAAACAATATTCAGGTTATCAGTCAATAACTACCTGGTTTTGTACCCTGGGAGGCTTTTACAATGAACAACATTTGCAAACAAGTCCAGTTCTGTTCTGCAAGGAAAAAATATTCAGACAGTAAATCATAATTTGTAGGAAAAAGTTACTTGTTATGACAAGCAGTCCTAGGAAAGCTCTTTAATCTCATTTGATTTACTTTATTATAACTTGAATCATTTAACAAGTGCTATGGGCCAATTCCCTCTGGGTAACAAGTGATTACACAATGACATGGAAATGTAACAGGTGGATGTATCTATGCTATACCTGCCTCAAAAGATAACAACTGCCCTGCTGATGATGACTGAGTTTTAGCAACTCTTTTCCTATCAGGTGTTCAGTGTACATGTATCACTTGATGACTATAACTCTGTCAGTAACTTACTTCATTTTTTGATTGAGAGACAAGTGATCTTGACTTGAGATACTTGATGGTGTGGTCAGTGCTCCTGGAGAAACAACAGCCATATCAACTCAAATTTAAAATAATTATCATAATAATTATAAACTAAAAGGACTAACCACCTTCATGACATTGATATTGCTATTTAAAAGGAAACTTTCAAACAATGCTGATCGCAAGGCTTTGCCAAACAAATCTGTTTGATGTACAGCACAATCACATGATGTACTTGTTCAAACCACTGGACAGACAGTAAAAAAAATCACAAACAAACACCAGAAAAGATAAGCACTGTTGAATAAAATTAAAAATTCTTATCTGAGACCTAACTACACTTGGTAAAAAAGAAAATTTAATGAAAGAAATTGATTGCAACAGCTCCAGGAAACAACATGTATTAAAAAAAGGCATAGAGCACAAGACAAAAGTCAACAATACAGCAAAGTTATACAAATTTTAAAGAAAAAGAATTGAGGTAAAAGTGTGAGGTACTTGATTATTTACTCTTACCTTTTAAACCTACTCCAGTTTTCTTCATTGATTGGACGACATCATCCAGTGTGTATCTGCTACCATAACTCATATCACTGACAAGAGAGCAATTAAATTCACAATTGCTGATAATATTAATAATGGTTATAGGACCATGTGGAGTCCTATTCAGTCTGTAATCATACAAGTGACAAACAAAGTTGGACCACCACAAAGGGGGAGTCCAATTTGTTAGTCATGAGTATGAAAACAGACAGAAATGGATGACACAAAGTCCTGTTACCAACTAATCAAAACTACGACAAAATTTAAGACATAAACTAGACGTTTTCATAAAAAATAGCAAAAGTAACTCTGCAAAATTCAAAACAACAGCATGCACACATGACGTGTTCTGTCCGATTACACAGGCATGACATGTTAACTGTCCTATTAAACTGGCCATTTACAAGCATGATGCTCAAATTGGGCTGGTGATAACCAATCACATCCAAGATTTTTTTTCACAGTTTTGATTAACAGTATAACTATTATAACATGAAAAAAGTCTGTACTCAAGCAAAGTGGTATATCCCATTTATACTCCCAAGGTGGAGATAGGCACTGTGTATTGCCAAAGAACACAACACAAAGGTAGAACCTGGCCAAGTCTCAAAAACAGACACCTCAACACGAAGTTCAGTGTACTAACTATAGGGCTACTGTGTCGCCTACAATTATTATAACAAAGTTTATGGGAAATAAGTCTGAATGATGACATATCATAGAAATCTTCTTTTAACCTGCAAGATGGTATTACAAAAAATAGCCTTATTTTAAAGTTATGTGACTGACATGTCTTACCTAACTGGAATTTCATCCCAGTCCACAGGAGCTCCAGCAGCACTAAAGAAAGGCAGAATGTAAGATAAAATAAGTATGGGCCTGGGTTAAACAATTTAACAATATTAACTTGACTCCTATTTTAACTCTAAGAGAAAAGGTAAACCATGATCATGTTAATTCTAGCTTTTATTAAAATGATTACACAGACTTTACAATAAAAATTACCTACTAAATAAACTTTATTTGTCAAAGGGCTGGATCAATGGGAATGGAATGATGAAATGAATCTTGAATTTTGACTGGTTACTCAAGCAGGGAAGATGGATCAGAATTGTCCACTGCATTCCTATTGGAAAAAGGCTTACAAGCCTTGTAACTGGATTAAAATACTGGTTTAAATTCTTCTTGTTATTGGTACATGGTAAAAAAGGTTTGATGGGAGTTATGGTAATAACAAAGTCACAAACACATCTTTTGATAGTCAAGGTTTCATAGATTTATCTGAAAATTCTTCTATGCGATCATTTTGCCATATAAGACATTCTTTAGTGACAGAGCTTGATCAGTCAAGATGGCTGAATGAAAGCTATGTTTTTTATGTTCTTTTGGACCAAGAAAAATGACATTGTGCTTATTTACATGTAAAAGAGGAAAATGTATTTCTGAATTAAATTGGAATATTCTCTGAAGCATTTTAGACTTAATTATTTTCCTTAGGGATGTTACCTGAAGATTCTTTTTACACTGTATACAAGTTCAGGTCCAACTCCATCCCCTGGGATCAGTGTCACCATGTATCGGCCTTGAGCTTGTGTGAGTGGCTCAGATGCATTGCTAAATGATCTTGTCTTACACCAGGCAGCTGGAAGAAGCTAATAAGAAAAAAAAACTTCAAGATTACACAAATGTATACCCACACTTAAAATTAAAACTGATGACCATTTCTCCATTTACTTTATCTTAAATCACATGTCACATCAATATAATGATTTTCCCAGTAGCCCAAGACTCAATCCTTCCTATACAGGGGCACTGGGTGTTAATGTGATTTTGCCAACAAAGCTAGAATATTAAGAAGTTTCCTTCCTTCTCAGTGTCAACCCTTTAAGCCCCAACATCAGTTTGCATATTCTCCATTCTTTTCTCTACACATTTCCTAAGGTGCTGACATGGAGGAATTTGTTCAACAATCAAGAGCTTCTATAGCTAGTGATCATTTCTTTTATTGTGATATCAGTGATATTGTGAGGAGAAATTACATACTAATCACTCTTAGGGGTCAAAGGGTTAACCAAACATACAAACTACCACTGATTTCCATGCAAATTACAGAAAGCTATCTTAACATGCCCCACCATTTTTTAGAGCAAGTTTTGTTTCAAACACTTGAGGTAAGACTGGCTATTGGCCACAAAATAATGTTTAATAATTCCTAATACCCTGAGACCAGGACTGATTGATCCATTACACACAATTTAGGCTTGGTTTCTAATGGTAAAATATTGATAACACCCACAATCATAGAAAAACTGATCTAATCATAATATTACTCTGGTCTGGTTAGAAAAATTGGAGGGATACAAACCCTCCTCAGACTACATTAGTATGGTCAGGGTGAGTTGAATTATTTTGTTAACTAATTAGGAACCACTTCAATAAATGAACTTAAAAGAGAAAAACATCTGCCTTTGTCAGTTAAGTACATCTAAGATGAGCATTATGATGGGTGAAGTGGATCACTGTTCTCCTGGCAGGTATACAATCGAATAGATTAGTTAACCCTTTAACTCCCATGAGTGACCAATTGAGACAGAATTTCTCCTCACAAGTAATAATATCATATCAAGCAGACAAGTGATGAGAAGGGAAAAAATATCAACAAGGAGGTTAAAAGTTAATCCAAAACCAAATTCTCCGAACTAACATCATGAGAATTGTAAGGGAAACAGTAAGGAGAATTACTGATGAGATCTTGAGTGTGAAACGGTCAAGAGCACAATATTGACAAGATACAGAACCTGGGAAAAAAGCTGTTTCTTTCGACCCATTCTCTACCTGGGTCAAAAAGGAAAATACAATTTAAATACTCCATAGCTTTGCAGGGGAAACACACAACAGATGGCGGTATGATCTCATCATGTAATATTTGATGTTGATATTCAGTTTTCCCAGCTGATGCTGTACATTTCAGCAGATTTCAGACAAGCCATTTTTACGATCGTGCAAATTCAAAATGAGATCTTAATTTGATTTTGATCTATTTGAAATAAAATGAAATCTTTTTCGGAACTGCATACCACCTGAAAACTCCGTGTCAACAAAATCCGGCTTGTGAAACGGGACAACTTCATAGCCGCCATGTTGATACGTTTTCCGTGAAATTCCGGTAGTATTACATGGACTAAAATACAACCGCTGATGAGGTGCCTTGAATGTTCATACAATTTTTTCGCGGGAAATAATGGCGGCTATTCCAACTATAAAGAAGCTTGACGAAGCTGTTGTTAATCGTATTGCAGCTGGAGAAGTAATTCAAAGACCTGCAAATGCACTGAAAGAAATGATAGAGAACTCACTAGATGCAAAATCTACATCTATAACGGTGACGGTGAAGTCTGGAGGATTGAAACTTCTGCAGATACAAGACAACGGATGTGGAATCAGAAAAGACGATATGGACATCGTCTGTGAGCGCTTTACTACGAGCAAGCTCACGAAATTTGAAGATCTAAGCTCCATTGCAACTTATGGGTTTCGAGGGGAAGCACTGGCGAGTATAAGCCACGTAGCTCATGTTACTATCACCACAAGAACTGCACAATCCAGCTGTGCTTACAAAGCGTCTTATTCAGATGGGAAACTTGTGTCACCACGACCTGGCATGTCTGTAGATCCTAAGCCTTGTGCTGGCAACAAAGGCACCCAGATCACTGTAGAGGACTTATTTTACAACGTATCAACGCGAAGAAAAGCGTTGAAAAGCCCCGGTGAAGAATTCGCAAAGATTGCTGACGTGGTCAGCAAGTATGCTATACACAATTCCGGGGTCGCATTCACTTTAAAAAAACAAGGGGAGAACATGGCTGCTGTGAGAACTGCCAGTGGTGCGTCGATTTTGGACAACATTCGTACCATTTATGGAACAACAGTTGCGAGAGAGCTGTTGGAAGTGAACTGTGAAAACCAAAGATTTGCTTTCAAAATGCACGGCTACATTTCCAATGCAAATTATTCGGTCAAAAAGCTGCAGTTCCTGTTGTTTATAAACCACCGTCTTGTTGACTCCTCGGCAATGAGGAAGGCCATAGAATCATTGTATGAAGCTTATCTGCCCAAGAACAGCCATCCGTTTGTGTATCTATCTCTGGAAATTTCACCCAGCAATGTTGATGTCAATGTCCACCCCACTAAACATGAAGTGCATTTCTTGCATGAAGATTCCATCATTGAAGCAATACAACAAACATTTGAAGAAAAATTATTGGGGGCAAATTCATCCAGGACATACTTCACTCAAACTCTTCTTCCTGGAATCTCTGTGACAGACACTTCTGCAGGTTGGTGCCGTGCATTTTGAGTTTGATTGAAAACCCAAATCAGGGTAGGATGAACCTGCATATGAAAGAGATGGGGACAGGGTTCTCTGAATATACCTTTTTTAAGGCACCTGCTACCTTTATTATTAGCAAACAAAAGTTTTAATAACCTGTTTTGGTCTAAAACAAAATTTAACCCTTTCCTGCCAGTTATTTGTTTACCTTCATTCCCAAGATCTCATTAGTACTGGTAACCCTACAATGTTAGCACATAGAATTTGGTATTGGATCAACTAATAATCCGTTATTTGATGTTTTTCTTTATTCTTATTACTTGTCTGGTTGATATGGTATTGATATTGAAAGGAGAAATTATATTTCAATCACCTATGGGAGTTAAAGAGTCAAGGCTGGTTAGGCTCCTGGGTCCAGTTCTATAAGAGGCAGATAACACTATGTGATGGATAAATTTCTATCCAGCAGATAACAGTTAACAAAATGTACTGTACTATTCACTGGATAGCGAATTATTCAGTGGATAGCTTTATCTGACATTCTGACAAACAGGGCCTGGGCAGTATTCCATGCTGAGATTGAATTGGTTATCATCGCATGTGGAAAACTTTTTGGAGATTATATTGCTACTGAAAGTTGCCAGGTCTGTGACTTGTATTTGGCAGTGATAAAATCTTTTTTGTTACTAAGCGTTTGTGGCCCAAAATAAAAAGTGAGATCAACATGAAGATTTATTGATACTAGGTAAATGCTCTATCAATTTCTAGTCACAAAATTAAGCCAATTTTTCCATGGTTGTTGGGAAATTAAGCCATGAGATGAAGTTGCAAAAATGACTGCCAGCTCACTGTCTCAAACCAATATCAAACTGTTTTGATTGTTATGTGTTGTACTGCTGAGAAAGAATTAACAAATTCAGAAATGGCTTTTAGAAATTATTTGATCTTACATTAGATTTTTTAAAACTGTTTTTGATTTTCTGTCAAATTTGTTTCAGTTACATCTGTTGAGGGAGAAAAATCTAATGGTGCAAAAGTTTATGCTCATCAGATGGTGAGAACTGACAGCAGAGAACAAACTCTCCATGCATTCCTGCCTCCTAAAGATCATCCTGTCAAATCAAATGAATCTAACAAGTATGTACAAGGTTAAGTGTGTGTTACAGCAGTTGGTGTGTATTTTACAAGCAATGTGTTACACCATGGGATGATGAAAGAGGGGTAACTTTTAATGAAGGTTTCTAACAATGTCAAATGTTAAATGGCCTTTTCCCTGTCTAATGACTATTTCCTTATTCATTTATTAAATCCTCCAATTTTAGTTGACACAGATTTAGTGATGCACACTGTAATCCAAGTCAATTTATAATCATAGGCAGCCACTTCTTCCCATAGACTCTTGATACTTAGAGAGATAAATTTGTAAGGATTCCCTCAGAATATAAATCTCTTGATCACTAGAATGTCACATTGAAACATAAGCATGGCTGATAAGTGTATCTCCCCTTTTACCTAAATTACAGACTGAAAAGTATAGATAATCAAATTTTTCTTCATACCAATTACCCAATTCAGTAGTAGTTTCTAATATTATGCATGCATTATTTTTTAAGCATTTCTCAGCTCTCCAGTGGTAGTAAACACAAAGCTATTGCTATGAACCAGAATCCATCTTCAACCATTATAAACCTTGATGAGGAATGTTCTGCTTCCCATTCAGTTGATGAGGACTTCTCTGAGCAGCCTGCAGGTATTCATTCAGTTTATGAGACATTTTATAAAATTTTTAACCTTTGACCCCTAAGAGCAATAAGCATCTTATTTCTCCTTGCAATATCACTCCTGAATCAAATATTAAGGGCACTAGAATAAAGGAAATGACCACCAACAAAAGAAGCTCTTGATTGTTAAACAAGTTCTCCTTGTCAGCACCATAGGAAATGTATAGGAACATTATTAAGAATATGCATACTGATATCAGGGTGTTGTCTAAGTTGAACCAAATCACAATATCATCTGGGTGAGAGAAGTCCTGAGAAAGACTATTATTGGTAAGATAGACCTGAGTTTTGACAGCTGTGATCAATGCCCTCCCTTATTTTAAGCATGACAGGAAAAAGAAATTTTCAAACCTAGAGAGAAATTCCTTTACCTGTTGAGTTCTCAAGAATTCCAAGTGATTTTAAGCAGTAAGAAGAGGTACCACAGGGTACCACGTCAAAAATAACACTAGATCCAGATAAGGATAAGGATCACCTAGAACAGTTTCTTTCTAAAGGTAGGATCCACTTGTAAGAAGTAGTAATAGTCCAAGTTATATTATGTACAGAAACCTGAATACTCATGAGCTCTGGAAGCTAGATAGGTCAGTCCAGTATGCATAGTCTGATTGATTTTACTTTCAGGCTCGAAAAAACCAAGATTGGAAGAAAGATCCGAAAATGCAAGAAGTACCAGCAGTTCAGGAATTTACCGAGAAATTAGTCTGACCAGTGTACTGAATTTGCGGAAGGCTATAGATCAGTCTGAACACAAGGGAATGAAGGAGCTTTTTGAAGACCACAAGTTTGTTGGCTGTGTCAACAAGTCACTGGCTCTTGTTCAACACAGCACAAAACTGTACCTTGCCAACATCACAACCCTCAGCAAGGAACTTTTTTACCAAATAATCCTCTTTAAATTTGGCAACTTTGATTTTCTACGTCTGTCAGAACCAGCACCAGTGCTTGATCTTGCACTGTTGGCTTTAGATTGTGAGGAGAGTGGTTGGACAGAGAATGATGGCCCCAAAGATGAGCTGGCAACCTACATTGTTAACTTGCTGAAGGAGAAGAGAACCATGTTGTTGGACTATTTTTCTTTGGAAATAGACAGTGAGGGTAATTTGTTGACATTGCCTGTTCTGTTGGATGGTTACGTACCAAATCTGAATGGACTTCCTATGTTTGTTCTTCGTCTGGCTACAGAGGTTAGCAGCAGAATAATGTTATTCATATGATTTTGTTGTTTTCAACCTTGCATATGAAAGAAAGTGGTCATATGTACCCAGCATTTTTTTCTTTCACTTCAGATATTTTAATTTTGCCCCAGGAAGAGAGAAAAATGTAGATGACACATCACTATGGGAAACTTACCTTTTGAATGGTTTGAAAATCTACTCACTCCTCCCTGAGATCAATGGCAAGTTTTCTACTCCAAAAAAAAGAGCCCAAACTCTAATTTTCTCATTTACAGCTGCAATGCTTTTTTTTCAGACAATTACTGATGAATAAACTCCAACATCTAAGCATATTAGAATTAATCCACCTTTTCTGCACAATCCCAACCTTTCTAGGTGGACTGGGATAGTGAAGAACCCTGTTTTCAGAGCTTTGCACAGGAGTGTAGCAGATTCTATGCATTTAAACCAGACCCTTTTCAGGCTGATGACAACTCATGTGAAGATGACAATGAGGGAATTGATGCTACCATGGCAAAACCATCATCATCATGCCATTCATGGCAGTGGACTGTGGAACATGTGTTATTTCCTGCCTTTCGAACTGGTCTTATGCCTCCTTCCCGCTTTTCAGAGGATGGAACTCTGCTTCAAATAGCCAACTTGCCAGACTTGTACAAGGTGTTTGAAAGATGTTAATGACTAAGGTCAGCATTTGAAAAAACTCTTGGGTTGTAATAATTTGTTTGGGTGCGGAGATAAATCATTCTAGAATTTAAAAAGTTATTGGCTTGGAGTGTTAAATGTGATCCAAGATTACTTTATTTTGGTTTACTTTGCTCTGTGGTTGCACCATTCTCTTAGCCAATCAGATGCAAGACTAAAACCAATTAAGAACAGGTTGTTAGTGTTTTCCTGCACTTTAGGCAGTTTGGTTGTTTTTCCTTTGAGTTCTTATTGGCACCTAAAGGTTTTTTCCTTTCTTCAGATTGGTAGTTGCGATTGCCTTGGGTTTGGTTTCAATCAAAAAGTTCTCTAATTAGCAATTTAATTCTTTGTGTTTCAAGAATATTTGGGTTTGAATTGTTTGCCAAGTGCTCATCAAAAATCATAACTGTTCTGGCATATTGAACAAGGATTCATCAGTCAATACCTAATTCTTACAGACTGATCATTTAATTACAGTCTTTGTAAATTTCATACCCAACCTTCATATATTTCACTACCATTATTTTCATCTTAGTTTGGAATTGAAACTGAAAAAACGTGCTCTTATTGGGTGAAAACTTTGGCTCCAAAGCTTGAAATTATAGGTGATATTTTTTGGTAAACAAATATGCTGAAAACAAGGGGAAAAGGTATTAAATTAAGTTGTAAGCATAGCATTTTTTGTAAGTTTCATGCATAAAGAAACAAGGTATAAATTAAGTGGAATGGTCTATTAACCAAAAGTTTACCACCTTGGAGTTTGATGTACAGTACCGCTCACGTATACATTAACCGAAAAATGCAAATTAAAAGTGCCAAAAATCGCATGCAATTGCGAATAAAAAAAAATCATGCGTGTCAAAAAATCGTACATGAGTGCAAGACTTTGAGACATCAACATCATTAATATGTATTTGCTGCTTTTTCAAACCTAGAGGTCCTTTGTTTCATACAACAATGAAATACAAAGGAAACTTATAGCACTGAATAACAAAGGCACATGAATCACGCATTTTTTTTGACCGTGCATGCAAAAAAATTGTATATACGTGTCTGACTACCCTGCGTCAGAGCATATGAAATTCGTCTGCGCAGTTAACGTATACGCAAGTGGTTCTGTAAGATCTTGATGTTTGTTACACAGAAGGAATGACTCAAGTACATCTTTAAGTACGTGAGAACTGGCTCACTCAAGGAATGTCTTTATTTACTGAGTTTCTTTTTCTATATAAAAAACCCTCCAGGGCAGTGGAAATTACCCCAAATTACCCACTTCTCTTCTGCATCATGCAGTGCACTATTTTTCTGACTAAGCTTCATTTAAGGTGAAATAGCTTTTAATTTCCTACCAAAGAGTATCTAAGCTTTTTTATGGTAAACATAACATAAATAAAATATTAAATTGTTTATTCATTTTAAATAATGCAATTGCTGTTGATTGTCAAATCATTCAACATAATCTGCTGATTTGCTGAATACTCTCTCTTAGTAAACCATAAATCCCATGAAATGGAAAATATATTTTACATCCAATTTACATATTGACTATACATTGTGTATCATTATACAGCTGTAAGTTAAAGAGGGTTCAATTAACCTGTCTGGCCATAAACCTTGTTATTAATTACAAATTATATAAAACTCTTATGTGATAAATAAATTCAAAATAAGTGATAAAATTGAATCTCTGCAGTCTTCATCTTCATCTGTAGTTGTATGCACACTAATATGGAAATGTATTTAGATTTGTTGTGGTTGGGAAAATTTTTGGTATCTCTAAGTTTGGCACAGGGTTAGATAGAAACTGCACAAAATCTGAAATAGTTTTTTCATTGGCCTTGGCTGTAAATATTTAAAGTTTAACTTACTGATACTGTGAGTGCAAAACTAATACAGCATAACTCCATCTACAGTGCTTATCTCATGCTTTTTTGCTCTGAAGCAATGCGTGCAGTGAACCTTTTTCATCAAAATAATTGTTGGACAGATAAGTATAACACCAGCAGCACCTAATAAAATCCAGAAAGAATATCCCAGTTGAGCTTTGTCGGTGGAAGAGAACCCACGGCTTTGATCTTGGGGCTGTAGAACATTTTTCTTCAGTTGAAGTTCAAATAATGCAGCAAACAGGCAGGCAGATGTCATTACAAAGAGAACTGAGATAGGAAAGAAACATACTCAAGTCAGTACTTATGTCAAAAAGAATGTTGCATAAATGTGAGTGCATTATTTCATGATTTTTGGGTAGGAATGATATTTAGTAAGTTCTTGCCTAATGTAATATAAAATCCTTTCACAACATCACAACTGACTATAAACCAGGAGCAGTTTATGCCATTTTTTCAGTTTATTGTATTCATAACAAGATCTTTTTCTAACCCAATCTTGTGCTTCCATGGTGCACTTTATTTGGTACACTTTTCAATAGTTTGGAAAATTCTCATATGTTTTCTTTGAATCGGTCATTACATAAATAATTATGACAAACAAGCCAAGCTTGATGCCTTCATATAAAGTATATCAGTATGTACAAGTACATGTTATTTTTCTTCAACAAATTAAATGTGATAAAAAATATACATTGTGTGATCAATCAGATGCAAGTTTAAAATAAAAATTACCACAACTTATCACCCGCAGCCTGATGTGTATTTGCCTTTTTTTCTGACTGACAATGACAATTACTTTAGATTTGATGATACTCAGTTGAAAAAAGCTCCAATTAAGAAATACTTACATGCAACTCCACAACAAATGTATATCCCAATAGTACCACAGATAGTTAGGTTTGGCTTGGTAAACTCATTATAACAGGAAAGTCCAATCATGATGCAGATGACAAGTAAACTGAGAATACAGAAGCCCACTGTTGCCCACATTACATTATCATTAGCCACACCTTCAAATTCATCTTTGACTGAAACAAGAAATAAGAGGGCCATATTGTTGTTTTGTGGCCAAGCTTATGATTAACAAATAACTAATCCAAAACTTAAAATTAACCCTTTCACTCCCTGAAATAACTAACATTTCTAGTGTTCTGATTGATACATTCAACTCTGGTTATCAGCTCTTATTGCAAGTCACCTTATATGGAAATTCATTGTGTCAATTGTTATGAGGCTGAAGAGAAGCTCCAAATATCTAAATGCTCAGGATTTAATGAAACTTGATAAAACAATTAAATCCTATTTGCACTTGTTGGATGCAAGATTGGTTAGGCCAACTCATATCCAATGTGCCTTGTTGGTTACCACCATTTCATATCCAATATGCACTCATGGAATAATTGTTAATCGTCCAGCAAACAGGTAATGAGAATACTCACTTTTTCCTGACAAAATAGGGATTGTTTACAACCAGGAATGCCCTTAGCTATACCCTTGAATCTTTAAAGAAACACTCAATATAATCTTCACACCACATCATACACATTCTGTACTTTAATTTGCACCTTCAACCTCATTTTAATCCAAATATATATCCACATGTTTGGCTTTCAATACCACTTTTCCATCTTGAAATTTTCCAGTAGCCTTGCAGGTGCAGGCTTGAATGGTTTATTTAACTTTACAATTACAAGAGAGAATATATCCATTATTTTGTCTCTGATTCCACAAAGTGACAAATGTTGACTAAGGTAATACTTGAGGCTATGACAAATGAAAATTATCTGGAGACTGAATACACTGATTGTAAAAAAGGCCTGGAAATTTTTTTTCCCAGGTATTGCACAACCTGTCAGGAGATGTTTGTAAAAACCTTCAGTTATTGTGAGAATCGGTTTGTTAAGGCAGGTGGCTGATAGTCCTCATACTTAGTAGTCAAAATTATCTTCAAAACCTGACTCCCTTGATCTCCCTTTGAGACAAACAAAACAGACCCTCATTTGCATCGACAATACATTCTTTGATTGCGGAACCAATTTTTAATTTTTTATCGAGCTTGCCTCATCTTTTTCGTCTTATTTTTTTTTTACAGTATAATAGTAGCGGATAATTTAACTTACATATATTTCTCAAGACCTTGACGAAACACACATTTTTTTTGAGCAAAACATTTTAGTGTTGAAAGCCACTATTTCATGCTTTATACACACACTCAGGTTCTTCCACGAAAAGATGTAAATTTTCGGAGATACAAACGCTTGGTAGTTTAAGTGCTTTGGGAAAATTTACTTAGCAACGAAATTTAATACCTCGCCCGTAGTTGCAATGTCAGCAGGTATTTTTTCTTGAATAAGGATTCTGTGAGCTTTCGACCATAAATGCTAATTTTATCACTTTTTCTGTCAGTGCATAAAAAAATTTCTAGAATCATTTCTAGACCGATCAAAATGCTACATAGATATTTTGATGTGATTTGTTCTGTAGTTTGAGCTGTACCATTAAAGATTTAAAGCGATACAACTTCTGTATGGTTATAAACATCTCTCGATTTAAAAATATTAATTTTTTTAAAAAAGATAAGTTTTACCTTCAAAGTCTCTTTCTCTAGCGCCTAGTCCAAAATCCTGCTTGCTTACCCCTTTAAACATTCCAAAATGTTTCGATCCTCCTGTCTGTGTCGAATTGCCGACGCGACGTTCGAGGTTCGCCATAACCCAGTATTCAGAAAGCAACGCAGCTACGATCATCACAAACGCTATAAAAGCCAAAACTGCTGCTATAACGGCTGCGCCACTTCGTTTGAAAATGGTCGCCATATTGACAAAACCGAATTGAGATGTACTTGAAGATTTTCAATTAACGTGGCTATAATTGTTTTCTTTTACTTCCAAAAGACATCATCGTTTTGGCGCGGACAAGTGGACACACTGAGCTAATAAACAGCACGTGTGGACAACCAATCGCGTGACACTTGTAAGTCCCGATGCCCGTCCCGCAAAGAATAAAAAATATATTGTGCTCGGGAGTCATATATTACAAAGCTTGGGAACTTTAAGATCTGAACAGCTCTGGTTAGCAATGAAATTTTCCCTGGAAAACAGATATGAAAACAGGAAATATCCATGAATTGAAATCCTAAACAAATTTAGTCGCCGTCGCTGGGTTCAGGCGCCGAGAACGTCATATGCAGGTCAGCTTGCCTTCGATCTCGAAGGGCGGGTCTTCCCCAGATTGCATCATGGAGGGAATAAAGTTTCAACATCGATTTTTTTTCCTCCCCTTTCTAAGTTATAGCTTAAATTTTACGCTGTAATTGAGTGCCCGGCAGCTGGGCACGGTCTTAAATAGACTAAATAGTCACAGCCTAGGTGTTATTTGTCTGTAATGTTGATCTCTCTAAGATTTTGGGTTGATGACGGTTATTAATCAATTGTATAAAGGACAAAGCACAAAATTTCAGTTCCGAGAATCGTGTGGCAGCTGCTCTTTAAAGAGTCTTATGACTCACACCAGCTGGTGAAGGCCAAATGACAGACACCCTCCTTTACAATTAACTCCTAGCGCTGATTAACATATAAACCTTTCTTCTTTATATAAACTAGCCTGCAGAGCAGGCGTAATTTTTGTCAGGCGAGTGGTGAAAATTATAGCTGTCGTCTTGGATTTTTACAACAGTGGAAAGCTAGTGAGAGAAATAAGGTTGTACCAGGGGGGTGAGTGAAGGTTAAAAAGAGGGAGAGGGGAGGGGGTGGGGCAATGAAATTAAAATGACCGGTTAAATAAGCAATCGCGAGCTTTAACTTGCCCTAATAAGACGCCTGCACTGCAAGCTAGATATCAACCCATTAACAAGGAAATTTAAGGCAGATAGAAGGGAAAATTACAATGCAGATCTTCGAAGCACCAAGATTGCATATAGAAAAAAGGTAGGGCGTAAAGGGAAAGGTTTAAGGCTTTTAAAGATATTTTTTTAATTGGAAAGGCTTAAACTTTCAAGTAAGTTAGTGCAAATGAAAATTGAACTAAATTAAGAACATAATGTGAGTATAGTGTGGAGGCAGAATAAAGTATTGTCCATGATAACTGCATGTATTGTAATTTTAGTGACTAAGAAACGTTAACGATTTTATCACAAATAATATATTTTAGTAATAAGCTCCTGATTTTAGGTAATGCACTCTAAGTTATGTTTTGTAAAAGAGAGTTAAGGTTTTGTAAGAAATATATAACGCTGTATTGTAATAAAATGAAATTTTAAAATTAAGTCAGCAAATATTATTCCCCTCCACACTTCCACCCCCTCTACCGCCAATTGAATTAATTATGTAAAAGCAAAGAACAGCTACCCTCCCCTCGACAGGAAGTCAACTGTTGACCGACATATTATACCGACATATTATACTGACATTTAACCGACAATCAGCCAAAAATCTGCTGACGAACGGCCGAAAGTCAGCCGATAGCCGATATTCTTACTACCAATCAAGTCCGATAAAGAAAGAGGCGTGATAAAAAGTTCGTTATTCTTTTCTCTAAATAGCGCTCAAACGGCATTGGCCCGATTAAATGCCTCGCAAATATCCGTAATGCCAACTAAGCTGGGAGGCCCTCATATGCAAGGTCTGAGGAACCGTGAAAATTTAGTGACTCCTTTGTTCCCTGTAAAGTTATTTGGTTCGGCACTATATGTAAGAAATAAAGGCTGAGAAAAACAAAAAAGGCAAACATAAACAGCAGGGCAGTTGGTGTTTGTTTGCTCACTTTCCCATAACTTTTTAGAGGTTAACTTAATGCAAGAAATTTAAATAAAATTGGCTTTAAGATATATTCAATATTTTTTCTTTGGTTTACAGAATACTGAAAGAAAAACAAGAAGTTTAATTTTTGCTTCCGTCATTTACGATAGACGCCCTGTTATGATTAGACACATATAACAGATCCGCCGGTCTTGGACTCATTATTAAACATAATCCAAGCTTAACACGCGCAAGTAAGTATTTTACTTTGCGAGGATAACTATGTGACGTATTTTTCAGTGATTGGTTGCAGCTTTGTAATCAATATTCATGAAGTTTGTAGAGTTGCCCTCAGTTTGAAATTTTCGTGTTCGAGTGAGAACGTATCTGGAAAAGAAGCGACGGAACCGTAAGAAACGAATACCCTCTGGAGCATTACTCCACCAGAAGAACCAGAAAAAATGGTGAGTATCTTGTTTTCCTGTACTCAAGAAATTATATCCAGAAAATAAGCTGTAAGAAACCATACAGTTGAGGCAGTTTTAGCGAGCACGTGGCGCGCTTGCTAGTCTCCTTGTCATGCTAGTTCAAATTTCTTTCCATTACGTCTTTGTTTGTGAAGTTCACGTGAGGGTAGACCAGATTAAGACCCGAGTTTGTTTGTTTGTTTGCAAATGTCATAGATTCAATTATCGAAGGAAAGTTGGAATACGAGACCATATTTATTTGAATTCTGCAAGCAACTCAATAGTCACTTGACCTGAGCGTCATTGTCCGAATCACTGATAAACGGTCCGCTGTTGTATTGCATAGTTCTGTACCTACATTTATCATTCTTCTAAAACTTCTTTTGCTCACTTTCTCCACAGAAGAAAGAGAAGAAACGTCAAATATATAAAGAAGACTAACTGGAAAACTTGACAAGCACAAGGATTAATACTTCTAAAGATAAGATTTAAAGCTTATTTGATTAAAAAAAAGTGACACTGAGCGACATTTCAATGAACTGTTGTTTTAACACTGTCATTAATTTTCTTGAATTTGATTTTGGCACAAAAACACTTAGAATCCAAAACTTGAGCAGCAGCAGCAGTAACAGGCAGAAAAAAAGCAGTTTTATTCCACCTTTTGTTGCTAAATTCATCTCTCTTCCCTGCCGATTACAATCTGTTATCCAAAATCTCGTTTCGGTTTAAAGATTTTGATGTGATCGCTCAGTGTTGTTGGTTTTTATTTATTAAGGTGGCACTGAAAATTAGTTTGATAGTTCACGGTTTAGTTTTAAGTTTGCCTGTGACGAAAAATTCAAGTACTCCTATTCGGGACAAGAAGCAAGCCATAACCCTTGACAGAGCAGAATGGAGACAGAGAATGGAGGCCTTTACTTTCAACTAACACGAAGAAGACAGGTAAAATCTAACATCTAATATACGAATTCAGTGCCACCTAAAGTAATTTTCTGCACTAGTTAAAAGCAATGTCTGGTTTAAAGAATTTTTTCTGTTTTTCGGATTACGTATTGAGTTCACTTGCCAGCGAAATTTTCGATAAACGACGAAAGGTAAAAGAAAATTCAATCTATCAAATGAAACTAAATCCCAAATGACTAAAACTTGACAACGCTTGGGTTAGGAATATCATTCCTCAGTCAAGACTGAAACATTACTACCCTATAGAACGACCAAGAAGTAGACTGACCGACGCTGTTTTGCCTCAGCGAAGAGACTGATTTACTTTCACTGTATACTCAACTTCACTACAGGAGGCAAACACCAAGTTCTGACACTGAAACTGAAAACTGACAAAGGTAGTCGTTAAACGATCAAACGACAGAGGACTCGTTACTGTTGTTATGAACGAAACTAAGCGCATTTGTTAAAAAAAAAAGCTTACAAACAACCCAAACATTAACTAGACAGCAACCGTACCTACTCAGACTCGAGAAGAAATTCGCTTCTACCGACAGTACGCAAACTTGACTTCCGATGTGATAATTTACCAATGAGAGAATTAGACATTCTAGTATCTTTGCGATACGACAGTAAACATTACGGAATAATTGACCTGAAATGTGACATTTATTCAAAAGGATGGCTGTCTTGACATTCTTAAAACGTACGTTAAAAATTGCCTTCGTCACAAAACTTACCTGGGATTTGAAGGCAAAATTACACTGCTTTCCGACTCTTCCAAACACTTATGAAATTAGACGTCAATTATTTACGCGAAAAAATGTCAAACTGTTGCGGAACAATGTCGAAACTAGAACATAGCAGTTTATTTACTTTCAAAAAATGTCGGAGTTCATCAGTAACTGAAACTCGGCATTGAAATTACAGGAGACTTGTAAAACGAGGATCGTTCTTTAAACCAGACATTACTTTTATATCTAGTTAATACCAGTAGTTAATGTTACATAATGCAAGAAGAACAGTGCAAAACATCTCCCAAAACCAGCAACAGGCAAATACATATTTTTTCCATGAAGAAATTTTGTTGTGAAAGTTCTTTTGATGAACAATTAACGAAGATTCACGGTGAGGATTTTAATTCTCTCCAATTGTTTCTGATTCTTGGAAAGGGAAATGAAATGCTTTTAAAGACAAAACCAAAGCAGGCATTTAGAAAAATTTACACATGTATTTCTCGTGCAACTTTTGATATGAAAATTATTTCATTGTGTGATTTGACAAAGATTCACAGCGAAGATTGCAAACAACTCCTTATTCAAAACCTCAAAAAGATGAAAAACGGTTATTCATTGCTCACAATATTTAAGGTAAAGGAAAACTTCAACGAATTGCACGTCTTGAAATAACATTGGGGTTCAAACCAGCATGGAGACCTTTTTAAGTTACGAAAAATTTACACATTTACTTCCCGTGCGACAGTTACGCAAATTATGTTGATGAAAAATATTTGCAAAGATTCACAGGCAAAGCTTACAAATTGCTTTAATTTTCAAAATATTATTTCAAAAACCAACGAGACTAAGTGTTTTTGGGAAAAAGTGATGTTTCTTCACTGTTACTTTCTTGTCTTTGTAGCATATACTTTGGATTTTATAAGGTTAACATGGCAGGCAATACGCGTTTTTACAACACAAGACAAAATAAAACTGTTTGAGCACGTAAAATTGTTCAGTGCATTTGTCAATTGAAAAGAGTTCTCGAGAAACG